TGCGGAAATTGCCGATCCTCTTTATAAGATTGTCAACAAAGAAAAATGGGCTTGGAACCTAGAACACTCTAAAAGTTTTAATGATCTAAAGAAGTTAATTAGTCTTCCACCTGCTTTGACATATTTTAACCCTGAATTACCTAAAGGGATAGCCACTGACGCATCAAAATGTGGTTTAGGAGCTGTACTATTTTATATTGAAAAAGATGGTAAAGAAAAATATATAGCTTTCGCGTCGAGAACTTTATTAAAGTCTGAAATGAACTATACCAATATTGAGCGTGAGGCTCTCGCTATAATGTTCGCCATAAAGAGATTTCAGGAATATTTAATCGGCACAAAATTTACAATTATTACTGACCATAAGCCTCTAGCTCACATCTTCACCAAGGGTCTTAAGGATAATAGCACTATGTCGTTAAGACTCCAGAAGTGGAATATTACATTAGGGGGATATGATTTTAATATAAAGTATAAAGCCGGTAAATATAATGTTGTTCCTGATTGTCTTTCGAGATTACCACAAGAATGTCGTGATGAAACTATTGAAAATGTAACCATTATAAATGAATATGAGGACTTACCTATTAACTTTGATCAAATCCGTGATGAAACTTTGAAAGATACGGAATTAAAACAAGTCATATATGATATTAATAACAACAGACCTATAATGAATAATATTTATAAAAACATTGAATTGGAATTAAGTATAATTAAGGATTGTCTTTACAAAAGCAACAAAATCATAATTCCGTCTTCTATGAGAAAAACTATACTACAGTCATTACATGAAGGTCACTTGGGAGCAGGAAAAATCAAATCCTTAGCCAAAGATTACATGTGGTGGCCTGGCATAAATAATGATATCGTTATGGAAGTGAAGAGTTGTGACGATTGTAATATATATCACGATAATCCTATAAAGATACAAAAACCATGGGTTTCGGCAACCAAACCGTTTGAAAGGATACATATAGATTATGCAGGTCCGTTTTTTACAAAAAATTGGTTGATAATAGTCGATGCCTACAGCAAATTTCCAATTATTATTCCTGTTAAAAATATTACGACTAATGTTACTTTAAAAGAAATCTTTAAAACTATTTCGCTATACGGAATACCTGAAACTATAGTTACTGATAACGGCACTAACTTTACGAGTAACGATTTTGAAAAATTTTGCAACAATTTTGGTATTAAACATGTGCTTACATCTGCTTATCACCAGCAATCCAATGGCCAGGTTGAACGCATGGTTAGAACGTTCAAAACACATATGAAAAGGAATATTAAAATAGACCCAGATATCGCACTTAGCAAATTTTTACTTAATTACAGAAATACGCGTAATGATACTACAGGAGTTACACCATCACAGAGAATGTTTAATCGAGATATTAGAATTAAATGGGACTTATTAAAACCGATGGATGAGAAGGAGAATAAAATAAATGTTACTTTACCACGAAATAGAACTTTTAATGTAGGAGATTTTGTTTGGTATAAAATACAAGGTGATGATAAATGGTGCAAAGGTATTATCACACATAAAGAAAGTGATATGATGTTCCAAATTAAGACTGAGAAAGGTATTTTGAGGAGACATTTAGATCAAATAAGAATTAGAAACTGTTTTAACACAATTATTAACTATGACTCTAAGGATTCTTTTAAGGAGGGAAGTATGGACAAAAATATAAAAATTACTGATAATAACGATATAACACCTATCTCTAGACCTGTGCGAATTAAAAAAAAACCTGCTTATTTAAAAGACTATGTAACTTAAAATATAAAATAAATGTTAAATTGCATAAACTAAATTAAATATTAAAACGCTTATATTAAAACGCAAAAAATTAAAACGCTAAAAATATAACAATCTTATTGATTTATCATTCTTCATTTATTCTTATGATGAACTATTATTTCTTATTCGCAACTTATTTATGATAATAACAATTTCGGAAAAATGATAATAACAATTGAGTACTATCAAACAAGCTATGATTAATGGAGACAATTTACGATATGGATATCAAGCTTGTGATTAAACAAACCAACGTGCAAAATCGAATTGATCAAACCAACGATTGGGACAAGCCAACGTTATGATGATTTGTGATACAACTTGATTACCAAAACGATAAACCACTAGGACAACAAACTCTCTGTGACTTCTCCGATGAAATTATCAGAAGAGGGAGAATGTTGCATTATTCTAATTACAATATAAATTTTATTTTTTGTTATAATCTAATTTTATTTTATAAACGGCGTAACCTTACTTTTTTAATATTATTTTACTTTTTTGTATTTCGTTTTATATTCTAATTTATATTTTAGAAAATGTATATATACCTTTAGAAAAGAAAAAGAAATTAGTTAATAAAATATATTTTTTATTTGATAAAGTTAATAAAACATATTTATTATTTACCGGCACTTAATTCATGTTACTCTATTAGAAAATGTATATATACCTTTAGAAAAGAAAAAGAAATTAGTTAATAAAATATATTTTTTATTTGATAAAGTTAATAAACATATTTATTATTTACCGGCACTTAATTCATGTTACTCTACAATTTCTTGAAGTCAATATATTATCATATGAACGTTGCAAGCTGCTCGAGCTGCTAACCTTTTAGTAGTGCCCTTTAGGTGTGGTGGTTGCCAGATTAGCGCGCTATATTTTTTTGATAATAGCTAATAGCGTGATAGTTTTTTTACCAATTATTTATTTTTTTAGCATGCTCCTTATTTTGAAAGTAGTTCAAAAAACATAATGTAATTATAAACATGAAAATTTCAATATAATATCATAATTAATTATAATCATGATGAATTATTATTTAATTTTGAAATCTTTGAAGATCGCTGCTCAAAATATTTTTTAATATTAAAAATCTTCAAATTTTACTTTTTTCAGAGGTCTATTCTAAAAGACCGTTACTCAAAAATTTTTTTAAATGAATTTACGATGTTCAAACTTCAAAGATCCATGATCTAAAATCGTTGTTCATAATATTTAAAAATAAAAAATCTTCAAATTTCTCGTTCTTCGAATATATCGATCTTAAAAAATCGTTACTCAAAATTTTTTTAAAATAAAATCTATGATGTTCAGAGATCATTATCTAAAATCGTTGCTCAAAATATTTAAAAAATAAAAGATCTTCAAATTTTGCTATCTTCTAAGTTGCTTAAATTTATGAAATTTTTTAGCCACTACTTGGGTTTAAAAAAAATATCAATTAGCATCTATTTTTGGAAAATATACTTAGAAATAAAAAATTATATATCCCGCATTCTATTATGTCATAATATAATATATGTCACTTTCTATGTGACTTGTAAAATTTAACAGATGTAGTGACAATCTATTCTTTTGATGTATAAATTCATCAAGCGCCAAATTGAAAATTTAAATGGATAAAATTTATACTATCCAAAATTTAGAATCTTGGGATAGGTCTAATGCCTATTTTGGATTTAGTCCTGAAGAATTTTCAAATGGAATTGAAAACGCGAGCAAGGATTATATGAAAGATGTCTTAGATATTTTAGAGAGAACTTTAAAAGAAAAAGTATAGTTAAAATATATAAAATAAAATTTAATAATAATAAGTATCCTAAATATAAAGGCGAAATAGATCAGGGAATTTTAACATTAAAAAGGTATTTGTTTTATAATATTGATAGATGTATGCAGAAATTTCTTGAATATGTTACAAAAATATTTTTTGTCCCTCCTAATATAATAGAAGAAAAAATTGATATTAATTATAATGAAGACAAAAAAGTAGAAGAGCTGAATCAACAAATAGAAACTATTTTTGAAGAAATCAAACAGGTTGTCATATTTTACTTAATATATAACCTTATAAAAGGAAAAAATAAAAACTATAGTAATTCAACATTTACTCAAGAAAATTTTAATCATGGAGGAAGAATATAGAGAAATTGAATATAAATTAAAAGCAATAAGTTTGGATTCTAAATCATAGTTCAAGAATATTTTGTTATATAATTGTATAAATAAATTATATCCTTTATATATCATATTAATAACAAGAAATTATTTATTAAATTTTAATACTAAAATATTTGATAAATTTTTGTTACTTATAATAAGTTTATATTTAAAATAAATTGGGTTAAACCTTGACACTAGTTATTATAATAAAGAATGCCTTGTTATTTACAATAAAATGTAGTATTTAGCATAACCAACAACTAATATAACTTATGTTTTTGTTAGATCTTTGCACAGTTGCTTAGCCCAACCAATTAAACTTTGCCCTGCATGTCATAATTTTACAAAATGTCTGACCTAGATCTTAATTTTTTTGTACTCCAATACTAGCCAACATGTTTTTATAGCAGAGGCCGTGCACCCACATTTGGGGGTAAATAAGAAAATTATAGGCTAGGTGCCCCCAAGGGAGTTAATAATAGGCTAGATGCCCCAAATACCTTTTTTTTGTAGATTCACATTGTTTTTTAAAAACTAACCTTTTTTTGTAAATTCTAACATTGTTTTTTAAAACTAACCTTGTTTTTTGTAAAAATCTGCTTTTTGTAAATTCTAACATTGTTATATTAAAACCAACCTTGTTTTTTGTAATCAAACCTGTTTTTTGTAAATTCTAACATTGTTTTTTTTAAACTAAGTCTGTTTTTTTGTAAATTCTAACATTGTTTTTTTAAACTAAGTCTGTTTTTTTGTAAATTCTAACATTGTTTTATTAAAGCCAACCATTTTTTGTAATCAAACATGTTTTTTATAATTTCTAACATTGTTTTTTATAATTAATTCTGTTTCTTCTAAATTCTGACTTTTTTAAAAAAATTATGTCTTAAATCTAATTTTATAATATAATATATTGCGACAAACATGAATAAGCTTTATTAATATATATATTTTATAAATATAAGTAAAAGATATAATTTATAATCATTACATTAAAGATAATTTACACAAAATGTTTAAAATATTTTGGCAATGGAAATTACTGTTTTTCAATTTTTTGATAATCTTGATACAAACTGCTTTTTCTATATTTGAAAGATTTGAATGGCCCATGGGTTAATTTTCTGGTATAAAAAATATTCTCTTTAGATTCTTAAAAAATTTGTATAATTGTGGATACTTTCTCCTGTAAGGTTGGGGTTGCATGATGCTATGGATATGAGGTTGTAGTAGTATCTATAGATTTTAGAATATTTTTAATTTTATATTAGATTTGAGTTATTTTAATCTATTTTTTAAATATAGCGCATAAATATTAAATGATAGGAAACTTTAGATAACGTGATCTATCACTAATACCAAAAATAGGGGCACCTAGCTTTAGTGTATTTTATATCATTTTTTTTGCACTGTCAATTAAGGCTCTTTATTTCCCCTCTTAAAATACAAATAAAGTATGTTATAATTTATTTTAAAATTGTATTAATCAAAACAATACTTTGAAATTCAAAAAAAATATATCAAAATTTTAAATCCCAGGATAGCTTATTAAAGTTTTACAAATGTTTTAGATTTATAAGGATTTCCTGGTTTTTTATATAGAAATTGTCTAGCTCAAAATTGTTTATGTTCAAATTACCTTCTATTTTGCTTGTGCTGGCCCATTATAAATTTTTTTAATTTGCCTGTTCTGGCCAATAGACGAGGCTTATGCTAGACAATTATATTTCTTGTTTTATGTAGATTTATATTATTTTTTGATGAAAATATTATGAATAGTTTGTTTTTTATGATTCTTCTGGCTTAAGATTATATTGAGTGAGAATATTATTAAATTAATTTTTATTTCTTTTTTTGATATTGTTATTGAAATTAAGTAGGATTAAGTGAAAATAAGATATTGTTGTCATTCAAAAATTGATTCATACTTAGGTTGAAGGTAAAAAGTATATAAAATTTTACAATGAAAAGGGGAAAATATTAAAAAATTGATAATATAATTATAATTAAAATGTAGAAAATATTAATTATTATTATTGTGCTTTATATATTAAATATTAGGTATTTTAATAAATTTTAAAAAACTTTATTTTAGAAGATTAAAAAAGAATACTTTTATAGTCAGAAGGGCCAAAGGTTTGCAATGGATGGGTAAAAAAATTAATGGGTCTCACATTCCTGAAATAGTGATAGCCAATTCCTTTTCTTTATTAAAAACATGTTTTAAATGAATGCAATTCACTTCACATTGAACCAAGGACCCCGAGTGAACCATAACGAACCGTTAATCCTATAAATTGTTATATATATCCAAACCAATATAATTATTTTTTGAAGGAGTTAAAAGAACCTTTATAAAAACTGTTAAACCGGTTCAAACAGGTTCAAATAATTTGAATATCCAGAATTATATAAACTAGTTCTTATAGTACTGGCAATTCCCGCAACACAAGTTTCTGTAGAAAGGGCTATTCGAGGCTAAACAAAAAGGAATCCATTTATATTAGAAAATATATTACTTATACGTTCAAATAATATATTTAAAAATGAATTATTTTGAATCTTATATATTTTTTTATATAAAATTCATATAGATGCAGAAGATGGTGTTGCTTCAATAAAAAAAAATTTCTAACTGTAATGAACCTTTATAATTAGCTGAACTGAACCTTTATAAATTTCTTCTTACGAACCGTAAGCAAAACTTAACCATTTTAATTTTTTACATACTGAATCGTAACCAAACTGAACCATTATAAATAACGGTTTAGGTCCTTGCATTGAACAACAGATCTGAATCATATGTTGTGAAAGAGAAGAATGCTTACCCATTGTTACAACAAAATATTTTAATTTAAAATATATGTTTGTGAATATATGAGCTTTTATTTTGAAAATGAAACAAAAATTATTAATGTATTTCTTCAATCAAGAAGAATATTCACTATTCCAGCTACCAACCCTTCTTCCAAACAAGACTATCATAAATGGAGAATTCAGGGACAAAAGAGAACTTGCGTGAATCCAGAAAACTTGGATGATTATTCTTATATCATAATCAAGGATTTATTAATATTTTTTAGGAGATCTGGGTGATTATTCATCCTTTTTTAAATATTGTTTATAGGCCGATATAGTTAGATTTGTGCCAATATGATAAAATAAAATAGCTTCTTAATTTTTAAAAAAATTCCAGATATACAATTTAACTAAAAGTTAATGTAATGTAAATATGAAAATAAATAGTTGATAAATAATTTAATAAAATAAATCCCTAATTTTGTTTATTTTAAGCATTCTCCCATATTTTAATTTTTGTTCCTATTAATAAATAGTATGATAATTTATTTAAAAAGAAATCTTTTGTTTTATGCATTTCATTATGCAAGATTTTCTTATATTAAATTGAATATATTTTGATACCTTCCCATTTGCTTAAATGGGATTTTTTTTTAAATGGAATTTGCCAACTTCTAATTTGGCATCTTGTAAAATTGGCTCATGTATCTCTAAAATTTGTTGAGGTGTTCTACCAACCTGAGAAAGCACCCAGAAACCAACCATGTCAACACATTTTTAATTTTCCTGACCAGATAAAAAAGGGAAAAAAAATATATCCATGCATAAACTTAAATAACACTGCAAAGCTTTGTAAATAAACCAAAAAATTGGGACATCTTAATAATTCTAAAATTGGTTTCAGTCGTTTTTTTTTAAATATTAATATTTTGCAAATTTATAGTATTACTTTTGTTTTTTTTAATATGATCTAACAAATTTAATTAATATGCTTTAGAATTTGCTGCAAACTATCAGCTGATCGATTGCCTTGAATTTCATTCTTATTACAAATTTAGAATAAATTTATTTATAGAATAAACTTATTTATAGAATAAGAAACATATATTGATAATAAAGTTTTCTAGCACTTTCCCATTGTTTATATAATGCAACTATCCCTACATATGTTTTATGCCCCTAGATACAATTTTTGTCAATTATATGTTAATGATCAACAGGTTTACCAAAAGAATTTGGAGATATGATGGAGTGACCGGAACTAATTTTAAATTAATAGGATCACTTATAAAATAATTCTTGAAATGAAATGATTTATACATCTAATTTGAAGACATCCATGTATCTTTATATAAGAATTCTAATATCTTAAGAATACCTGATGAACACTAATTGATATGCACAATCGATAACCTTGAACATATGGAAAAATTAAAAGAATCATCTAGTTATTATAATTTTTAGGATACAAACTTATAGGGCTGTGATAATAAAAATATCGGATCGGAGCCGATATTTCGCATTTTCAAAAATATCGGATTGGGTTGATACCTGTAAAACCCGATCCGATCATTGTACTTTTTTTGATTTTATGTCATTTATTTATAAAATTTATTTTACATTATTATGATATTTCAAAAGATTTTATTTTTATTAAAATTGAAAAATTCTAAATCTTTATTTTATTTATTTTTAAAACAATGGAAATGCACAACACCCCCTAAATTTTATTTATTTAAATTGAAAATATGGAAACTAATAACAAATAATATAATTGAAATAGATAGTAATATAGATGACCTGCCATACTTGGAAGTAGTGTTGTTAAATGGCTCATTTTGAGCCGATTGGCTAACTCAATATTTTTGCCAGAAAAATATTGCCTAAGCCTCGAGATTTTGATAATATATGTCTAGAGTAGACCTTTGTTCCTTTTAAGAGTAAAATCTTCAGGCCTGGGTAATATTTTTCTGGATGAAGTATTGAAGCCGTTTTTAAAAATCGGCTCAAAACGAGTTGTTTAACAACACTACTTGTAAGAAATCAAGTAATATTTAAAAGAATCTTTATATCTAGTCGGTATTATAACATATTTTATCTTAGTATTGCTTGCTTAGTTGGATTATGATTGACTCATTTGTGGGTGGTATCTGATTATTTTCCACACCAACAAAAAGATTGGGTTTGTATGAACCACTATTTTAAAAATGAATTTTATGTGTGTTTATTTAGATAACTCTAACAACATTGATATTATATCCCCTGTGGAAATACTTGACTATTGGAGAATTAATGCTGAAAAGTATATAATTTTCTTGGCGCATCCTGCAACAAGTGTCCCATCTGTCTGTCTTCAGTATGGCAGGGGATATAGTTAGTCCACATCACATAAGCTTATTGAAAGTTTAGAGGTTCTCATATTTATTTAAGAAAATAATAAATTATAATTTTATATATTAAATATTACAATTATATAATTAATACCAACATATATATATTCAAAATAAATTGGATTATTTATTATTTTTTATTAAAATATAAATTATTTTAAATTAGTCTTATTGTATAAATAATATTTTAAAATAAAATTATATGCATAATTCGATTTTTTGCATAAAAAATATGGATTTTTAAATTACATTTGGTTCAAAGGGAGGTGGTAAAATATCAATATAAATAGCGGATCTGTTTTGAAACAATATTGAATCGGTGAAAAATATGTGACGCAGCCCTTTAAATAGGTCATATTGAATATCTGATTAATGATGGAAAATTCAAATTACGGAAATAATTATGCAAAATAAAAAAAATCATAAATTGATAAATGATGTTCTTAATATGAAATTTTTATTCCCACTATATCCTAAGTTGTTATTAGAGATTAGTAATATTTTTTTTTACTTGTTTAATACCCCCTATCACTTAATTTTAAGAGATAACTTTACTATTTTATTTTGTAACTAGTAAGGTAATATAGTAAATGTAGACTTAAATAAAAATAAATTGTTAATTATGATATGTATTTATAATTAAATATTAATCATGTTTTTTTTTATTTAACATTACAATCATTTCTGTTGCATCACACCTTGATTGTAGACCCTCAATTTCTAACATTAAGTTAATTGTATCTATTCTATACCATTTTAAAATAATCTATTCTATACCATTTTAAAATATAAGAATTAATTTCCTTGATTATTGGCCTATTAAGAATTTAGTAACCCTTCCTTCATCTTGTTTTTTTCTTTGCGCCACCATTTTATAATTTACATAATTATTTTAATAAATTTTTTATTGTATTCGAAATACTATCTAGACATTCTACAAAATTGTGGTAAACTATAAAATTAAGTGGTTGATATACATTTTTTTTTAAAAAATGTGAAAAAATTAAGAGTCAAATTTACATAACCTTATAATTTAATTTTCACCCCATTTTAAAAAAAATAATAAATTTAACTAATCAAACACATTCTTCATTGTTGGTAAATTAAAATAAATAGTATTGAACAATACATGCTATAGTAGAAATATAATACTTATTATTGAGATAATAAACGGAACAATATAAATGCCATATATTCCCTATCCCAAATATAAAAATAAATTAATATGGAAGGCTAAATTTCTAATTGTTTATTTCTCTATCTTGATATTATATTTTACATCTACATTATGATGGTGGATAGCGAGTAGTTCCACCTTTCATTAAATTGGGTTACAAGGTTTGTTGATATCCTTGAGAAAGAAATAGGCATAATTATATGGAGGATGGGCCTTCATATAATTCACGTACGCCCATTTCGAGCAGGTCCATGACCAACGTGCAAGATAAGTATAAGTACAAATTTAATATGGTAACTCGCCAACGAATTTATTTATGCATGAAAATATGCTTTTGATCTTTATGATATTATGAGAAAAATTAATTAATATATTGAAAATATTTTTATAAATTTTAAATCAGGAATCAGGATAAGTCGAATTCATTGGATATGATATCTTTAAGAATGCATGGTAAATCTTATAGTTAAATAAAGAATCTAAATATACATCATTAAAAAATTAACCTTGACAAACTAATCTATGATTAACTCCATTAAATAAAATACCAGCATGTTTTACATTTCTTATTATTCGAAGGCTTTAAAGACTAGAGCTAGTCTGTGTGCGCAGGTAACTGCAGCCTGCCCAAAAATTAGTAGATAATTCTTCCTATTTCATTTTAACCCCTTAAAATTATATCCATTTTCATGAGAAGAATCAAACTTAGTTGTTGTTTTAACAAAACAAAGGGGCTTATTCACTTAGAAAATGACGAAAACTCTTTTACTTATTTTATAATACTTATTTTTTCAAAATTTGGTATAATAATAATGAACTTTGTAATATTGTAAAAATTGTGCAGACTATAAACTTTATAATATTGTTCCCCTGAACTAAATTTTTATATATACTATTATATTGATGATTCATTAATTAAAAGTGATAGTAGTCAGTTGTAGCCCCATTTTGTGGTTTGCACTTCGACTAATTATCTTTATTTATCAGTATACGCACTGTCCTAATTGGCGTTTTTTTTATTATTGTATTGGGATATATTTTGTTTTTTTTTGTAAATTCATTATATGTATTTTTATTACGCGCAATGATATGGTTTGTTAATCTTACCGCATTGGTTTGTTTTGGGATTGTAAGACTCACAATGATTCATGTTATTCGGATTTGTGAGAATTATTCTTTTATTTATTTTATTTTCATCTATAAAATAGCTTTTTGGCAAATTAAAGAGAATTTTTTTTTTGTGGGAAATTTAATAAAATTATTATACTCGGAGTTTTGCTTTCTATTCTGCCCGGACTTTTTAAGGCACAAAGTAATAGTTGGTGCCGTGACCAAAAAAATAAAAAGGAAAAACTTAACATTTGTTAAGGGCACAGTGGATTAACTGTGGTATTGAATTTATATTTCAAAGGCACAGGGGTTCTGTGGAATATTTTTTTTTTTGAGAAAAATCGGTAGAGTACCGGGAATGTTGTTAAGGTCACAGTGGTTCTGTGGATTTTTTTTTAGGAAAAATTCGGTAGAAGTACCGGGATATTAATAGAGATAGGAAAAATTTTGGGTTACAGTGGAGTTTAAAAGGGTTTAGAGAATCTGATATACTGTTGTGTTATTTCAGTATTAATTTTATTAATTGTATCATATTGTTTAACTATTAAGGTAGTTGATTTTTTTAGTTAAGTTAATTATTAACTTTTTGTAGGTTTTTGAGATATATTTTATTTTGTTAAAATAGTTAATATAAATAAATTAATTTAGAAATATTTTTAAGTTAATTTAGATATTTTATTTTCATCTATAAAATAGCCGTTTGTGGCAAATTAAAAAGAATTTTTTTTTGTGGGAAATTAGATAAAATTATTATACTCGGAGTTTTGCTTTTTATTCTGCCAGGACTTTTTACGGCACAACGTAATATGCACATTGATGTCAATTAATTGACGTGCACAAAATGGTGCTACACTATACTCACATTTATGGATTCTTAATTGCATTTAACGAATAAATCGCCAATCTAGTATTATATATCCATTATTGCCTGAACCATAGGCGTAGCCGGAAGGGGGGGCAAGGGGAAATTCCCCCCCCCTTCAGATATTTATCACTTTTTGTAAATATCATTTTTAGCTAATAAAAAATATCCCCCTTAGTCCTCCCCCTACTTCCTGACTTTCAAATATGTATGCATATATCTTAAATAATAATTTGAAAGAAAGAATGTAAAAGTTGATATTTTTTTTATAAAACTATTCATCATAATAAATAGATTTTTGGGAAAATAAATTTATAAATATATAAAATGAACCAAAAATGTTTTTTAATAAATGGAATATAAGCCAAAGATAAGTCTTAAGACAGAAGTGAAATGTATTATAATTATTAATAATAGATCCCTAAAGTTACTAAATATTATAATATATCAAATATAATTTTTTATAAAGTGAGTAATTTTAATTTATTTATCTTAATAAAAGTAAAATATAATTATAAAACTATTGATAAAATTAAATCATAAATTAAATAAATATTAAAGCACAATACAAACAGTGGAATAATATATGTCGTAGATTTACAGTATATCTAATTATCAAATGACAATCAAGTAATTTTTACCAATATAGCGAATTATATATTTTACAGAAAACTATAAAATATTTATAAAGATATCAGAAAATATCTTAAGACATTGTGGGATGAATAATATGAAGATTAAATTTTAATATCATTTTTACTTAAAATAAATAGATGGCGTTAAATAATTGAATGCAAATTGTTGCTATATTTAATATCAAGAGCATTGATTAATAAAATTTGTTAAATTATTAACTAATATATTCTCTAACTGTCAAATATGTCTGTAAAAGTGGAATTTTACCTAGTATTGTATAACTAATTCTATATAATAGAGTAAAATCAACTATATGTCTACTTTCTTTTTATAAATAAATTTCTTATAATGTTTGGAATAAATTATTACCATGCTCTTATATTAAGGTATATACAATACAAGTAATTTATTATATTTTTATTTTATATAAACTAATAAAAAATATTTCATATTTGTTCCAGGCTTATTTTTTTATTAAAATTTGTAAAAATATTTTATGACTATATAAAGACTTAAGTAACCCGGCCGAAGCCCCACCCAAAAGGGGGTCTGGGGTCGAGGCCCCCACTTAATTTTTTAATTCCCCCCCCTTATGAAAATCCTGGCTACGCCTATGGCCTGAACTATAACATTTAAAAATATTTCCTCTAAAGCATAACACTCTAATAGACAATTAAATTGTCATAAATGTTTTCTTCATAACTATAAAATTTTATATGTATAAAATAATATGATAAAGTCTTAATTGCAAAACTTAGGCTTATTCCATATATTTATATATATATTATATTAAGATTTTTTATTAGGAGTATCTTTTGTTTTCATGTTTAACAGTGGCACTTATATTTCTTCTTTACATAAAACTAAACTGAAAAGTAACAAAAACTAAAAAATATACTAAATTACATATAATCTAATTATTTTCAATAAAAAATATATTACAATACAACTAAATGAGAATCGAGATATTTTAAAAACTTATTGCTAACACTTAAAAGGAATTATTTAATTATTACCTACAGATTCAATTTGTGGATATCTTTAAAAAAAAAACTAACAAATCCGGATATTTTAAAGCAAGGAAAAAATCACTATTTGGATGCAGTCAAACGCAGAAAAGACTCAAATAAATGAAAGAATTAATCCTGGGAATCTAAGTGAATACCGATAATGGTCATTTATGGAAATAGATATTCTCCTTAATATTTAATAATAAATAGTTTTATTAGTGCGAACGCCAAATGAAAACTTAACCTTTGTATCTTAAAATAAAAGGACTCTTAAATTCCCAGGAAATATCATTATGTTATATAGCGGAAAACATTATTAGTAACATGGGTTTAGATGAATAAATTATTTATTCAGACAAATTATATAAATTTTTATGAAACAGCTCAAAAGAAGGCTCTCTTACTGTTAAGGTTGGCAGGGAGTTAGACAAGATTTAACAAAAAGATTTAAAACTTTTATTAAATAAATAAATTTTAAAAATATTTAAGATTTTTATTTATAAAAATATATATAAAATATTTTAACTTTTTAAGTACAATAAATTTCTACGCTTATATAGTTTACACAGTGGCGTCGCTAGGAGGGGGCGCGCAGGGGCTCGAGCATGAAAAATTTGAATAGCCCCCTGAAGCAAAAAAATATTTTTTTAATTGGTCCTTAATATCCCCTTGAACTAAAAATAAATTTTTTGCCCCCTGAACGATTTCTTTTATAATTCCATTGAGTAATATATAGATTTAATTTTATTATTTAAAAATGAATAAAACTATCTAAATTTTTATAAAATGAATACTATTTTAATTATTAGATTAGATTATACATATAAATTATATGTTCACTCTGTCAGCTTGCAATCAAATTCTGTGTTAAAAATATATCAATATCATTCACTAAATATTAATTTAGAATTAACAGTTGAAGCTTAATTTTTATTATTTAAATTATTATATAACCCTTAATTAAATAAATATAATCATTTTTTAATTGAAAATTAACAAATTTAATATTGTAATTAGCCGAGTTCAAAATCAAATCAACTACATTTTGACTTTTAATTTTAATTATCATGTCTCTTCCTAAATGTATTTTCAAGGTCCAAATCCAAATGAGTATAAGATATTTATTTATAAAAAGTAAGTAGATAAATAGGTTATAAACCTTTATAATATATAATTATTTATAAAATATTAGGTAAAATGCCACCTAGAGTTATATAATATATTACAGTTAGTAATTTTAAAATAATAATAATAATGCTTTTAATAATAAATATAAGTAACAATTTGGATTCAATTATTTAACGCCATCTATTTATTTAATATATTATTAAAATTAAACTTCTTATTATTCATCCCACAATGGATGATAAATAAAATATCTTTTATTCTCTTTTTTTACGTGTTTTTAGGAAAGCTATTTTTTTCTTCTTTGAAAAACAGTTTTGAGTTAAATTTTTAATACGAATATATTTTTGATATTATTACAATCTATCATTATTTTAAGATATAATATAAACCAACTAGAGATGGTGCGACAATAATATATAAAATCTTAATTACTTTCATCATATCACTCTGGTTCTTATTTTATAGTTAAAAAATGTTTCATTTCTAATATGGCATCCTTGCCGTGTAAATAACTCAAAACTTCAATATATTTGCATAATTTCTTCTAAAGAATTTTACTGTTTTTGTTTTATCAATTTATCTAACATAATAAATTCTGATATGGGTTACCATCGTGAGTGTCATAATTTTTTGACAATGTAACTTGCTAGAATTATATAACCTTATGTGGTTTTTAAAAACCATTATCAATTGAGGCATATGTATGAATTAATTAACATTTTTTTACGCAAAATTTTTTTATATCAGCAATCTAAGATATCTTATACTGTAATAAATAGATTTTGTATTAAAAAATATTATTTTTAGAAATTTTTTGTAATGTTTTAATTATTTATATGCTAGTTTTTTTTTGCATGCAAAATATTATAAATGACAAAATAATTCAGAATAATTGTCTAGAGTTAGCATATTTTAAAAATGTATAATATATTAATATAAAACCCGGTCCAAGGCCGGGCAAAAGCGGGCCAAAGGCCCCCAAATTGGGGAGTATGGGAGGCGAAGCCCTCCATAAAATTTTTTTTAGCTGAGCCCCCTGTAAAGGCTAGCGATGCCCCTGAGTTTACAAAATCTATCAAGTAATTATAACGAATTATTGAGTTAATTTTATAAAACAAATCCGCGAGGTTAAAGTAAATTTAATATAAAGAATAAAAAAAATCAATCTTTTAGTTAATAGATGGCGATCAATTACGACATCACAACATTTATGAAAATCACCCTCAAATATGCATTTAATTTATAAAATTGTCCATAATAATATTGATCGGGTTTAAATATTTGACATAGTTTTGACATTGGTTGTAATTTTAAAATTTTCTTGTACAAATAAATTTTTGTTCCATTTTGTAAGTTGAAATTAATAATTTTATGAAAATGATTGACAAATTATATAAGAAAACGTATGTTACTTTTTTTTCTAATAGGCTTATTATTTTTTGAAACCATATGTTTTAATGTTATCACATGAACAATTTGTTAAAGATATTAAAGAATTTTATGAATATTCAAAACAAATTAAGGATTTTACATGGGATTTTATAAGTGTTTTATTTTATATTTTATTAATATATTTTATTTAAAGATATTAATGGTACAAGTTATTTAAAAAAAGTTATATTTTCTTATACAAAATATAATCAAGTAAATTCATCCTGGTCATGTTTAGTACAAATTTTAGTAGAAATTAGTTAACAAAAATAATCAAATTTTAAAATGGGAATATAACATTTTATATGACATCATATATCAAGTCCCAATATTATATTTTAACTGTTGTTATGAAAGTAATGTTATTATTAACTTAATAATAAGTCACATCTATTTTTTTTATCTAAATAGATGGAATCTTGTTGAATGTGCATGAATTACTTGAACAAACGCCCACACCACATAAGGTAGATTATAAAGTTGCTTTAGATTGGAAATTTATATCACAAAAGGTTCTAACAATTGCCCATTTTTATTTATTCGTGTTTATTGATAAAGGATCATCCAATTTTGCAAATTCCATATTTTTATATTCATCCATGTCACACAGAAAATATTATTAATATATTTAAATATGAGAAAGCTAGAAAAAATGACACCAAGTCCAAGTTTAAATTTTATTTTTTATATTCCAACATAAATATAAATACAAAATATTACAGTTTTATTGATTAATAAATTATAATAACTTCTACTTTATATCAGAGACCTGAAGGCCCTGAAACCAATCCCTTAATAGGTGAGAAAATATGGTTTTAAAACCTGTAACCCAAATTTAAAATATGAGCTGATTTAAACAAAAAAAAATAAAAATGTAAGAAAATCATACTATAGAGCATTTACTGCTCATATCTTCAATTTAACTTTGAAACATTTAGCAAAATACAGTCATAATTATTCAAAATAGTGTAATTTTTATAAATATTTTCCCATCATAAATTGATCAAAAATAATGTCCAGGCTGCACATGAAAATTCAAAAGATTCTTAAATTTTGACCTTTACAGGTCTCTTATTAATATTGAAATTTTATTTTATGGATAATGATATCCAGAGAGCCCTTTTTGCCCCCCCCCCCTATTATATGTTTTTGAAAACATAATTCTTACTAACAGAAAGCTTGTCAAGAATGATGGGTGTATCAGAATTTTATCCCTTTTTTAATAATGGATGAATCAAAAAAAATTCTATCTTACGCTAGGCTTGAATTTATTCTCTCTGAATGTCATAGTATAAATTAGAATTCTTGAAAATATATAATATCATTATCAAAGAAGTTCTAGGATATTTCCTATATTCTTATTTCTTTTCCCAGTTAATATTTAAACATCCAATCCACCTTTAGATTGCATTCAACTCCTTCAATTATCTGAGGTGGTCATGAATGGTTAGAATTACTCCTTAGTCATAAACTTGGTAATCTCTTATCATATAAACAATTGAGAGTAACCATTGGTTTATGTCTAGGTTGTGATATAGTACAGCCTCATACCTGCATCAAATGCAAATCACCCGTCAATCCAAAGGGTAGAAATAGCTTAAATTGTATATTTAGTCAAGGGACTCAGCTGTAAACCATATAATAAATAGAAGCCTAACAGCTGCACACATTCCAAACAATCTTGAACCATCAAACTTATCTCAAGTAGATGGTTTAAGACCTGATGGTATAACAACCATACCTTGGGCCCTCAGCAAATCACTCATATGGGATTACACGTGTGTCTCATCATTCCCTTCAAACATAAATTTCAATTTAATAACAGGCAGAAATTAAAAAGACAAACAAATACAAAAATTTTAAAAACTTCATATATACTCCAGTAGTGACCTCTACTAACGGGCATTTTTTGCCTTCAACATTTATGTTTTTAAAAAATCTGGGTAATAAAATACGACTTTTCAAATGAACCCAGAGAATTTCTTTTTACTTGACAAAAAATTCAAATAGAAATTTTTAGACACAATTATGGTTCCTTTTTTGGGGACTCAATTATAGAATTTTATTTTTAATTATAAATTTATAAATTATATTTTTTTAATTAGGTTTTATGTAAAAAGAAATTTAATAAAATAAAATAAAGATTTTAAATAAATATATATATCATCATGTTTAAGGATTAAAGGCTTTAAATATATTTTTTATTTTTACATCTTTCTTACTTCTTTAGACAGGATTTTTATTTTAGTAAAATAAATGGGATTTACAACAATTACCTAAATAAAATTGAATTAGGCTTTAATTTATTCTCTCTGAATGCTATAGTATAAATTAAAATTCATGAAAATTATAATACCATTATCAGAATATCTAGGATATTTGTATAAATCCTATATTCTTCTTTCTTTTCCCACAATACTTTAACATCTATATTTAATGATAAAACTTTAAATAGTATTTTTATATCCTTCTTGGGGCTTTAGTCAGGATTTTTATTCTAATATATAGCTGATGGAATTCACAATTATTCAAATTAAATAGAATTTGGCTTGAATTTATTCTCCCTGAATTTCATAGCATAAATTTTAATTCATGGAAATATATAAAACCTTTATGGGATATTTTTATTATATATCCTATATTCATGTTTCTTTTCCCAGTCCACTTATATTCCTCTATTGCGTTTTTATAAATTTTTTGAGCATTGTTTGAGATAAAGATAAGCGCTCACTATAAAGGTTATTTTGATTAAAAGAATTTGAAAATATGAAATAATATGGTGGTTAATAATAGATACGAATATTTGATGCTGGTATGGTTATTATCTAAAAAAAATTATATTATATAATAAAAATCTGGAAAAAATAGATTTAAAAAAATGCATAACTCAAAAAACTTGTGAGGGTATAGTGGTAACCAGGCTGTAGCAAATATTTAGATATCATATTTAGTTGCGAGTTCAATTCAACCTCGTGGATTATTACACTTTTATTCAAAATGTGACAATTTTTCACAAATTTATAACATAACACGTTTTCTCTTTTTTTAAAATTATTTAATTAATATTTTTTTAAAGCCCGGTCTGAATTTTCTTTTAAAAAATTTTTTGGCTCAACCCGGGTTCTATATTTTCGAGTTGGGCCTGGCTTGATATTTTTTTAACAAAAAAATTATTGTCTATGTAAAGATTATAAGATACGGCCTGGACCGGGCCTGCAGGTCTCTGATATATAAAATATAATGGTAAGCGAAAAATAATTTCCTCGAAATAAAAATTATTGGCGAATTTTAATTTTCAGGCTGCAATTTATATATATTATTTTATTATAAGGTTCTAATTCCATTCAATTTTTTTTTTAAACCAGAGCAATTTCTTTTAAATGTAGGAATCTATAAGGTATGAAAATTATTAAAACTATGACAAATCTACTTTTTAATATAATTTATTATTCTTTTGAAAAATGCAAAAATGAAACTTATTTTAGAGAAATGTGGAGATAAGACCATGTAGTCAATTAAGTTGTCTATAAGGATATTGGTTCCATCTCCGTGGTTTCCACTTATAAATAATTAATAAAAATAATATTAAACCTTCTATTTTAAAATTTTGACAAATTTTCATTGTAAATGTATCTTATGTTATAGGTATTTATACAAAGTCTTCTAAACCTAAAAAGTGGTACCCCCTAATATACTAGGTATTATTATTTTGTTCTAAAAACGCCCCAAAAATTTATGTTTGCTTGAGTTTTTGCAATATTTTACGTTTAACTATCTCGATCAAAAAATTTCTTATAACTAATTATTATTCTTATTACTCAAGTGATATTAACAAATTATTATTCTTTGGGGTAAATTTAACAGTAAATTAAATCAAACCTTTGATTTCCAAGTTGATGATATGTCTAAATGAAAAGAGGCTATTATGATATAGAGACCGATATTAATTCAGATGGAGGAAGAAAGTAAGAGGTTAGAATAAATAAATGTTAGGGCAAATTATGAGGGTGGGATGTAAATTAATGAGTGGCCTGGGAGTATAATGCCATAGAGAACAAAATAAATTTTAAAGAAAGAGGTTAGATTGGAGATCAGGGAGGCAAAGAATGTTATAGGGTTAAGGAAGTAGGGGAGGAGGGCATAAGATAAAATTTAATATTAATCTGGCGATGAAGATTAGGTATATTTGTAAACTATGAGAGTAAAGATACTTAAGGCAAAACACCTTTTATCTAATAAGCTTAATTTCTTTATAAAGATTTTTTAATTTTGAAGAAAATAAATAAATGATATGACATGATGAGAATAATTACTAAAGATTGGTTAAATGTATGGAACCCTGTAATAATAAATACATTAGGCTTAGAGTAGTTTATAATTATATTTTTTTTACATGAAAATGACATATTTAGAATTAATTTTTGGGTTTTTTGAATGTATAGAGGTGAAGGGGATCCTTAAAAATAATTTTTCAGTTATAACTCAATTTTACCCTATAGTTGAGTTAGACCCCTATAACACTGAAGCAGTGAAATAGTCGGATCTTTATATGCGATTTTTATATAATTATAAAATATTAATAATATTTTTTTTAGAAATATGGTAATATCATGGCTCACACTTTTTGGACAATTTGTTAACCTTGAAATCCCAAACGTTTATGCAAACTTATAAATTCAATTTATATCTATATGATTTGACAAAATTTTATTTTTAGTTTTCATGTTTAACTGATGAAAATTAATTTATTATAATATTTTGTCATTTTTCTGTGCCTTTCTTTTTATATATTTGATAATTCTCTGTAATCTATGCGTATTCAATATTTTAATATTATTGGGATTAAATATAATTATTCAAAAATTAATCAATAGCCTTGTTAACATTTAAAACCTATACTTATATACACATTCGAAGTTTTCTTATAAGATTACATGCCTGGGATATGTTCTAAATCGCAAAAAAAAATGGGAATATTATTCATATATCCTTTTCAACCTATTAAAGAAATATTTAAGATATTTCCCCCATTTTTAGCGATTTTTTTGTAAGTGCCTACTATCGATCAATTATTGTTGTAACCAGAGATGTGAATTCGAACCCGGGTTCAGAAATTTATAATTGTTTGGTTGCGCATTTACCAAACAGAGACCGATTTATGGACAACTTATCTACCAGGGGTAAAACGGACCCGAGACAAGTTACCTCTCTTGGTTTAGATTAAGTTCTTGTTATAAAAAATTTCCGCTAAATAAAGGTTATAATTCCTGAAGCCGGGTTTGGGTTCACTCTCTGGTTGTAACGAATTTCTAGGATATGTATTAGAAATGAAAATGTTAAAATCATTTTGAGGATATTGATAAATTATTTTAGAAATATTTTCTTATTCTTACTGCGGAAATGAAAGAAAAGGAAAGAAAGAACGAATGAAAGATTATAGTAAGAACATATTTTCTAAAATGATGAATAAAAGAAATATTTCCAATTTTACAAGATAGGGTTGAGCAAATTTCTATAATGCAAATATATTTCACAGGAAACTTTTGAAGATTTTACAAATACATTCAAAAAGTAGTTAAATACAAATACTACGGATATTTTTCCTTAATTAGTTTATTATGAACGACTATAATTTTTATTTTTTACTTAAATAAGTAACTTAAAAAATTTCCAAAATCTAATATTAATTCAAAATATTGTAAGGATAATTATTTCATAAAAAAAATCACATTATTTTAGAAATCGCAAATAGTAGTGCAATATCGATCCATTTGAACAGATTTTATTTAGAAATAGGCTAACTCAATATTTTAACCAACAAAATATTGCCAAAGTCCAAACTTTTGCGCCACATCTATAAGCTAAATCTTTGGACTAGCGTTATATTTTTTCTGGTTATAATACATATTTATCCGTTTTTAAAAATTCAATCAAATTTAACGATTTTACATCACTAATCTCAAACTTAGCTAATACATTCAAATAAGTTAATATCACAGTATTATTATCACAAGTTTTAATTTAAAGAAAATATATAATATTCGCTTATCTTTTAATAGTTGATGCATCTTGGCTTATACTAAAAATATCACCGATTCTTAAATTTTAACTGAGATAAGTGGCCTTATCTCAAATTAATAATTAAAATTTAAACCTTATCAATTTAAAAAAGTATATATCTGAGTCATGAATTGGGTGATAGACATTTTAAAAATTGATCTGTAAAATTTTTTTAGTAAAAAAAAAGAAAGGGTCGTTTAATTTTTTTTCTTCCCTTTTTTTTTATTTAAAAAATTTGTTAGGAAATTAACTATTGTGAGCAAAATAAACATACAATTTGATAAATTAACGACTACAAGTTTTAATTAATATTTGAGAGGCATTTTTATGGCTTAAAATTAATATTCAAAAAAAATATTTTTATTAAAATTTAGAGATATAAAAAAAAACTTAAGATATTTTTTTTGTAAATTATTATTAATTTCGCCTGTCTCAGTGCTAATTTAGTTATGCCTGGCCCAGTGTTTTAATTTTTTAGGTTACTTTTTAAAATGTAGTTAAATTGAAAACACTATACTTTATGGATTATCACTTCTATGAAATGTCAGATTTCATCAATTATATATACAAAAAAATTTTGCCCAACTCCTTTATTTTGCCCTACCTAGCCTGAAAATTTTTTTCCATGGGCCCAAATATTAATTAAAAATTTTTTGATCCTTTTTCGGGTGTAAATAATGAACTGGGAATTAAATGGAACAACAAAATTAAACTGTATTTTAAACGAGAAGATGATATGTGATGGAAATTAATATATATGGTTTTATAATACTAACATCAACAGCTTATTTAACATAGACATTTAAAAAGTCAGCCTTTGCCCTGCCTAATAAAGTATTTAAATATATGTGCGAATCTCGGGTATAAGCTTTCTTCTTTGTCCAATTCTCTTTAAAGACATTAAAAACAATCCTCTCCTGGGTCTTTATAATTTAAATATATATATATCGAATTAGATATATGCAACTCTTTGTTTTCTTTCTTTTTTGGATAATTCAACAGTTTCTAATAAATCATGACGATAAAATCGAAAGCTCATTACTTCAACATAGAATAAATTTAATAATAAAAAAATAAGATGTTCGTTTTTTCCCTTTTCCTTTTTTTGTACGATTATTTTCTACTGAATAAATAAATATTATTCATACATCACATCTACATATGAATCCGGACATTTTAATTATCAAACATTAATACACGATACCAACCAACATGAATAAGCGTATTGTATATAATACGGATAATTAATTTCGGACACAATTATATCAAAGGAATTATAAAATTTATCAATAATATCCAGCATAATGGAACACTATAGCCGAGATATGAGCTAAGATATATATTTTTATCATGATTTCTAAATTATTTATATGTGTATTAGAAAATACGTTTTAAAGCGCAATTCAAGAAAAATGTGTTTAGCATATCATTCATTACTAATTACGATATTTTTTAAATTTAATTATGATTCCTTTTGCCTAAAATTGTTAAATCCATAAATTAATTAATATAAAAAATAAAATTAATTACAAATGGCGAAATATAAAAAAAAAATTAAAAAGATTACTACATCTGGGATTCCCAGGCGACCATCCAAGTACTAACCAGGCTCAACGTTGCTTAACTTCGGTGTTCGAAAGGGAACCGGTGCTTTGAACGGTCGTAATCGAAAGTTTTAGTTTTAAATTCTTTATTTATGTAAACCATATTATTAAAAATTTAATTTTTTATTCAATTTTAAAAGAAATTAATTATATTATAAAATATGATATGATAATAATATATAAAAATAAAACTATATTAAATAACACATAAAAATAATTGTCTAAACAATTTAGAAAATAGAATTATGCGAGCTATATTTAAAGAAAACAAATTATGAGGGGGAGATCAAAAAAGGTTTAAGCTCAACAAACTATTTTAGTCAAACAAAATTTATTTGTTTATTTTTTCCATTTAATTTAATTATAATATACAATATTTTGATATGTTTTAAAAAATATTATTTACGCCATCTAGCACATAAAAAAATGTTATACTTAAATTAAATATAAAAAAAATAAGATTGACATTACATAACAATTTGAAAATTCTAATAGCTATCATCCCATTATCCTTAACATGGTGTATTTATTGCAAGTTTTTAATTAATAAAAATTTATGAAATGATATGTTTATAAATATTTATCTCGACTAAGACTATGATTTCGAAATTAAAATTATTCTATAAGTGTCTCATATATGTGCATTATTATTTAGTCTCACTCTCAAGATTATTGCTACTTTTATCTTTAGTTTTTTTCATAAAGTCTTTAAAACTTAAATTTTTAAATCGCAAATTCATTTTATTTAAATAGTGATTTTAAACTCGGCTTACAATATTAAATTTGTTAATTTTCAATTAATAAATCTACATATTTACTTAATTAGGGTTATATAATAATTTAATTAATAAAAATCAATTAAACTTCAACTGTTAATGCTAAATTGATATTTAAACATTATGCATGGTATTGATATTTTATTTTTAACAAAGAATTTGATTGCAAGCTGACTTAGTGAAAATATAATTTATATGTATTAATCTAATCTAATAAAATTTAGATAGTCTTATTAATTTTAAATAATAAAATTAAATCTATATATTACTTAATAGAATTATAATAAACAGGGGACAATCAAAAAAGGTTCTTTTTAGTTTAAGGGGATATTAAGGAACCATTAAAAAAAAGAAATTTTTTTTGCTTCAGGGGGCTATTCAAATTTTTCAGGGGGCTTGAGCCCCTGCACCCCCCCTAGTGACACCACTGAGTCTCAGATTCTTCGCAGAACGCATAAATCTTTCGCCTTTTACTAAAGATTTCCGTGCGAAGGATCATAAATGAGTTATTTCATCTATTAAATATAAAATATAAAACAGAGAATTTAGATACATTTACAATTTCACTTCGTTTTGACAAATCCTTCAATAATTTATCATCTTGGCATTTGAATCTATTTTAAAGCAGTAGTATTATAGAATTTATTAATGTTGTCTTGAAATGCAAGTAATATTTTTTAGGTGTGAAGGAATGTAAACTTTTAAACCAATAATATCCATATGATGTGGCTTTACAAATTTGATTATGAATTTTAATAAGTTTATCAATATCGTAATTTTACAACATTTGTAAGCTTTGACCTCATATTTTTTTAGAATTTATTTCTTATATCATTAAAACCGTATTTCTATTTTCTATATCTTTGTATGAATATCTAAATAACCAATTTTTGATTTAGTTTCGTTCATTTAATTATTCTAAAAAATCATCCGTTTTTATATATTGGATATCAAATCTATTTGAATTTCAAGAATTATATAAACTTGCTCTTAGAGTACTTGCAGTTCCTACAAAACAAGTTTCTGTTAGAGCCTTTTCGTAGCTTAAATTTAAGTTATCGTTACAACGAACTAATATGAATCCACTTATATTATAAAATATATCATTTATAGGTTTAAATAATAAATTTAAAAATTTATAAATATTTATAAATATTTATAAATAATAAATTAATTTCATCTATTTTACAAATTAACAATATATTAACCTAAGTGATGGCAAAAATTTTAATAAATAGTATTCATAATTTAAATCATTATACGATGTTGTTTCAATAAGAATTCATTAAAAAAAAATTTGTAACCGTATTATAATTTTTTACATAGAACTATTTATAAATTTATAAATAAAAGTTCGGGTCTCTGGAAAATATTGACTCAATATAAATTGCATAAAATTAATTTAAATTTAAACGATGTTTAGCAATATCATTGTTTTATAATAGGTTTATAATAATAGAATGAAACATATTTTTACATTCCTATATCACCATAAATTTATCCTATCTCTAGTCTACCCCTCTCGCTAATAATTAAATATAAAAATATCAATTATATTATAATGTTAAAAAATATTAACCAATGGGGAGATGAAATAATTAACCGGAAACATTGGAACGAGAACAGAACATAAAATGGGAAAGAACCGGAGCATGTATTATGGAATCTTCCCGGGAAAAAATATTAATACTCAAAATTTATCCCAATATTGAAACCTTTAATATCCTAGCGAAATTTTAATCTTAATCAAATTACGAATTTTCATAGTTCACGACTTTTATTTAAATCAATGACTTAATAATCATTGTCCATTTAATTTTAATTAATAAAATATTCAATTAAGATTTTACTTTTCTAATAAAAAAAAAGTGATGATAAAGACTTTTATTATCTATAACAATTATGTAATCAAAATATTTTGCCAATTGATTTATATTTAATAAATATAAACATAGATTTTATTTTGTTTTTTCTAATTTCTTCGACTTTTACCCTATAAATTTAGTCTCAGATTCTTCGTACAACGCATAAAACTTTCGTTTTTTACCAAATATTTCTGTGCGAAGGATCTTATATGAGTAATTTCATCTATTGAAAATTTTTTTTATCCCTTTTTCAGGGGGAAAAAATTTAATAAATCAATTAATTTAAAAACTTTCCTATTTTTCCAGCTACAAAATCCAGAATTTTTTCAACATCAACATTTATTTTTCAAAATATAGGATGCAGAGGGGCCTGGGTTCTTGAATTTATTTTTTGATAAGCTAGGCTCGGGCCTAATTATTAAAATTAAATTTAGCTTATTTAAAACAGTTGCTAACTTAAAGAAATATTACCATTTTTTTCTTCTAATAATAATAAATTTCATTATTGCAAACATAGTGATTGCCTAAATACTGTTAAATATTGTTTATTTTCATTAAATAAAAAAAGTTTATATTTATGGATATGGGTTTGGGAAATTTTTTGCAACTTAGCTTGGTCCAAATAAATTGATTTAAATTTTAAGAAAAGAAATGCAAAAAATATTTGAATTTTGAAAAAGTTATTTTTTTACATTTTATAAATGTACAATCGATTTTTGTTTAAACATAACTTGCCCCTTATTTCTTTAATTATTGATCGAATGTTTAAATTTTTTTTTATTAATATATTACATATTTTTCACTGTAATTTTGGATATATGGAATAATTTTCTTCCCCAGAATTTCAAAATATTTTCCTCTTTATTTATTTTTTTGACATGTGTGTGATATCATTTCAAATAAAGATTTGATAAGAATATGTTCCTCCTCCATATAAATTTCTCGCAATCAACTTTATCTTTATTATTATATTGCCAGTTATCGAATTTTATAAATTTTTCAAAATTTATTTTTCTAGTTTCGACAAAAATCCTTAAATAAAAACAATATATATTTTTTAATATAATACCATTTATTATATAAATTATTTTAAAGACAATAGTAGAATTCACGCCACCTAGCATATAAAATATAAAAATTAAAAAAGATACAACAATATTATTAGAAAATTTTAAAAGCTACTATTTTTATTTTGTTCCTAACAAATCATCTATTATTTGAGTTTTAATTAGTTTTTATAAGATTTTATAAATCTTTATTTTTATAAAAGATTTCGAAAATGTTATATATTCAAAATTTATATAATCTAATTTAAAAAGTTATATTTTTTAATCTAATTTTTGTAACCTTACTTTTTGTTTTTCGTTTAAAAAGTTATATTTTTAATCTAATTTTTGTAACCTTACCTATTATTACTTTTTGTTTTTCGTTTTGATTTATATGTATTCTAATTTATATTTTTAGATAATATATATAGTGTGTGTACGAAGATAGAAAAGAATAAATAATAAAATATATTTTTACTTACTCTCACCATACTCCTTATTCTCTTCATGGTGCTCCCCGTTTGGCAAAAAAAACTCGCCACCATGAAATTTTTTTTTCGTAAATATGAATAATAAAAATATTATAATACGATACAAATAAATTCTATATAAAGAAGGAGAAAAAAAGGTAAAATCATTTTAAAATTATTTCCATTATGTTTGCTTTCAAACTCATTAATATTCCTTGGAAAATTTCTGTTTACGATATACTATTTGAATTGACTTACAATTGTGATGTGCACTACTCTAGAATACTGGGTAGTGACGACGTTTTATTTGAATTTGTGAACCTAAAGGAAATGATTAATTGTTTTGAATTATTGAATGGGAAATATTACGTATACAAGGAGTCGGAGTTTCTCCAATTACATTGTATTTTTGTTAAAATATGGTATGTTATAATTTCTAATATATACGGTTTATTAATACATGGATATAAAACCAGAATTAATATACAAAATTCCAAAATTGGTTGGACCACTTACTGAGATTTATTAAGACAGAATATTAAGTTATTTTTCGACCAGCACATTATCGGACTCTATTAAAATAAATACTTTGCTTAATAATTTATCAGACGTGGTCTTTGACAACATTAAATCAATTTGTTCCGATACCGACATATTAGATCTTAATATTGTGACTAAAAAGTTAACTTACCTTTTACCTGTGCAAGATAAAAACATTTTAATAAATAAATTTAACTTATTACAGCAGAACTCGAGTGAGAATTTCATGCAATGGTACATAAGAGTATCGAAACTGCATAAAAAATGTAATTTTTCGGACGACAGTAGATTAAAAGAAAAATTACGTACATCTACCTTAAATGACAAAATAAAATATAAATTTTGTAAAAATATTAATTTAACTTTAAATGATATGGTAGAGCTAGGAATTAAATTAGATAGTATCAATGATAAATCAGATGTTGATAATATAAGTTATATGAATAACGATAAAAAGTCTGATAAAGATAAAAACTTTAACAATAGAAATAGAAATGATATTAATAATTATTATAGACCTGATAATAATTTTAGAAATAATTATGATAATAGAAATAGAGATAGGAATTACAATAATAATTTTAGTTACAATGATAGGAATTATAATAATAATAATTTGAGATACCACGATAATTGTAACAACTATAACTACAATAACTATCGCTACAACAATAATAATCTATCTAATTATGGTAGAAATAACACATGGCATGATAATAATCAAAAAAAACAGATCCAATACGGTGACGGAAATCGTAACAATTACCAATCTTATTACAACAAATCAAATAATTATAGGTAGTGACAATAATCAGAGAAAGCAAATACAATATAACAACAACTCAAATAATTATAGAGGTAGCGAAAACAATAATAGAAAGCAAATACAATACAACAATGATTATAATATGAATATTGAAGAAATTATTGAAGAAAGTTAACTATACAAAGAACAAAGATGATAACGATTTCAATGTTAACAACTTATCTGGTGGCATGCTCAATGACAGAGATAATGCATTTATGACTACTTTAAAATTGAATGATATTGTTACATGTATGCAAGTCGATACAGGCTCAAAATATACTATTATACCTCATGGTCTGGCTAAAAAACTTGGTATTAGAGATGTTAAGAAATCCGAGTTACAACTTACCGCTTATGACGGAAATTTAATCAAGATCATCGGCATCACTCAAGTTAAAGTGACTTATGAAGGTATCTTAAAATATTTACAAGCGGTAGTCGTCGAATCAAGTAAAAATGCCTTGTTGGGACGTACATGGATCAACGCTTTCAAAAATATTTTAAATAAATTTATAGCAAATGTTGACACTAATTACGAAGATGAAATAAAAAAATTGATTAAAGAGTGTGAATCCAAATTGACTAATGAGCCAATCAACAAAGCAAGTGTCAAGTTACATTTAAGAAGAGATGCCCAACCTAAAATTATACCGCCTAGACGTATTCCTTATTCAAAAATTGATCTTGTTAGCAATGAACTTAAAAAATGGATACATAAAATAATTGAGCCAGTGAATGATGTCCGATGGGCAAGCCCTGTTACCGATGTCTACAAAGATGATGGGAGCATTAGGCTTTGTGCTGATTTTTAGGACACTGTAAACCCAGCTCTAGAAGTCAGATACCCTCTACCACGAATCAATGATTTAATAGCTTATCTTTCAGAAGGAAAGAAATTCACGAAGATTGACTTTAAAAATGCTTTCTTACAGATCCCAATTGATAAAAGTTGCAGAAATAATTTAACCATATCTACGCACAAGGGATATTACCAATTTACTAGACTTCCTTTTGAGCTTAAGACCTCATCTGCAATTTTTCAACAGATCATGGATCAAATCTTCGGTGACATTGACGTCATATTTTATATTGATGAATTACTTATAACTGGAAAAAACGATGAAGCCCACCTTAACAACATAAAAAAAGTGTTTGATAGAATATCATCGTTTGGGCTAATACCTAACTTCAATAAAAGTGTGTTCTTTAAAAACAAAGTGAGGTTCCTGGGTCATGATATTGACGCCAAGGGGATTCATGCTAATCACAACAAATTTGAAGCAATGCCAGAACTAAAATCAACTGCTGAATTATCATCATTTCTGGGTATGGCTGGCCACTATAGAAAATTTTTGAACAATTTTGCAGAGATTGCCGATCCTCTATATAAGATTGTCAACAAAGAAAAATGGGATTGGAACCTAGAACACTCTAAAAGTTTTAATAATCTTAGGAAATTGATTTGTCTTCCACCTGCTTTGACATATTTTAACCATGAATTACCTATAGGGATAGCCACTGAAGTATCGAAATGTGATTTAGGAGCTGTACTATTTCATACTGAAAAAGATGGTAAAGAAAAACCTATAAATTTCGCTTCAAGAACTTTATTAAAATCCGAAATGAACTATACCAATATTGAGCGTGACTCTCGCTATTATGTTCGCTATAAGGAGGTTCCAGGAATACTTAATGGCACAAAATTTACAATTATTACTGACCATAAACCTCTAGTTCACATCTTTACCAAGGGTCTTAAGGATAATAGCACCATGTCCTTAGGACTCCAGAAGTGGAATATTACATTAGGAGGATATGATTTTAATATAAAGTATAAAGCCGGTAAATATAATGTTGTTCCTGATTGTCTATCGAGATTACCACAAGAATGTCATGATGAAACTATTGAAAATATCACTATAATAAATGAATATGGGGATTTACCTTTTAATTTTAATCAAATTCGTGATGAAACTTTAAAAGATATGGAAATTTAAGAGTAACGATTTTGAAAAATTTTGCAACAATTTCGGTATTAAACATGTGCTTACATCTGCTTATCACCAGCAATCCAATGGCCAGGTAGAACGCATGGTGAGAACGTTCAATCAAAACACATATGAATAGGAATATTAAAATTGACCCAGATATTGCACTTAGCAAATTTTTATTTAATTACAGAAATACGCGTAATGATACTACAGGAGTTACACCATCTCAGAGAATGTTTAATCGAGATATTAGAATTAAATGGGACTTATTAAAACCGTTGGAGGAGAAGGAGAATAAAATAAACGTTACTTTACCACGAAATAGAACCTTTAACAGTAGGAGATTTAGTTTGGTACAAAGTACAAGGTGATGATAAATGGTGCAAAGGTATAATCACACATAAAGAAAGTGATATGATGTTCCAAATTAAGACTGAGAAAGGTATTTTGAGGAGACATTTAGATCAAATAAGAATTAGAAACTGTTTTAATACAATTATTAACTATAACTCTAAGGATTCTTTTAAGGAGGGAAGTGTGGACAAAAATATAAAAATTAATGATAATAACGATATGACACCTATTTCTAAACCTGTGCGAATTAAACAAAAACCTGTTTATTTAAAAGACTACATAACTTAAAATATAAAATAAATATTAAATTGCATTAAGTAAATTAAATATTAAAACGCTTACACTAAAACAAAAAAAAATTAAAACGCTGAAAATATTATATAACAATCTTATTGATTTATCATTCTTCATTTATTCTTATATCCAATTTGATGAATTATTATCTCATTATTCGTAACACTGATGATAATAACAATTTTGAAAAATGATAATAATAACAACTGAGTATGACAAGCAAGCTATATGACAAAGTCACGATTTATAAGGACAACCTACGATAAGGATATCAAGCTTGCGATTTAAACAAACCAACGATTGGGACAAGCCAACGATATGATGACTTGTGAAACAACTTGATGAACAAACTAACTACGATAACATAATTAAAGTGTGAAGGCTTTTTAGAAGAAGGAGAATTTTATATATTCAAAATTTATATAATCTAATTTTAAAAGTTATATTTTTAATCTAATTTGTAACCTTACCTAATCTAATTTGTAACCTTACCTATTATTACTTTTTGTTTAAAAAGTTATATTTTTAATCTAATTTTTGTAACCTTACCTATTATTACTTTTTGTTTTTCGTTTTGATTATATGTATTCTAATTTATATTTTTAGATAATATATATATAGTGTGTACGAAGATAGAAAAGAATAAATAATAAAATATATTTTTACTCACGTGCTATTGTTACATTAATGAATAAAAATACAGAAGATAATCTCGGGCTCTATCTAATTTTAACACATTTTAATCGGTCACTTTAGTAGATATAATTTCAAAAAAAAACAGCTCAAAATATAATTTAAAAATATTTCAACAAATAAAATAATATTTCAAAATGATCAATTATTTTGTAGAGCTGTCACTTACAAGATATCATTCTAAAAAAGGAACCTAAAATAAAATATAATAAATTTTTCAAAAAATAGCTTCTCACCGATAGCACTTTCTAATATGAGTTTTTTTTAATTCAAAGGTTAGAAAAACGTAACAATATTTAAATTTTTTATTAGTTATAAAACAAATATGGACAGTTTAATCGTTCCAAAAGTGGGGCCACAACACAAAATATACGTTTTTACTAGAAAAATATATAAACACTCTAAAAAATTTAAAATTATTTTTATATTTTCCTAGTCACTTTTAATAGGGCCATAAAATAATATTAATTTCGCTTAATATAGATTATTAAAACTGAAATCGCATCTGCATAAGACTTTGTGAGCCCATAATTCCAGATCAATTTAAGTTAATCTTTAAATTTTTGAAAAATTTTAAAAACAAAGTTCTTAAAAAATGTCGGTCGATTTTACATGGAATCTCATCCTATAGGATTTGATTCTAAGTTAAGCTATCTCAGTTAAATTCTTAGGATATCTAAAATTTTTGGCGAAATTGGTTAATTTTGAAATTTCTGCTGATTATTGACTAAAAAATTTTTTTTATTTCGAGTACAACATTTTATAAGTATTATATAATAAGGAAAACACAATTAAATCTGTATAAAACATATTTACAATAAAGGGTGATAAATCGCGAAAAAAAAATATAAATATTATCTATATTATAGAATGTTTTTTCAAGCATTTTTCGAATACACGTCATTTCAAATAGTTAGCAATAGTGGATAATAAATGTTGTGCTATAATTTAAAAAAATGGGATACAAATAATCTATTGAATTTTAATATTGGCCCATTCGAAAAAAAAAGTATTTTATAAGAATTAAAATTAACGAGTAATAAATGTCTCAAAAATGTAATGTAACATTAAAGAAGGTAAAAAAGGGGGCGAAAAAATTATATTTCCACGTTAATCGATAGAATTGTGTTTAAGATAGGTTTGAAATCGGAATAATTGATACCCTCATTAATAAGTTAAAGGAAATTTGATCTAGTTTAGCAACTTTAAACAAAACCCTGATACATTACCTTTGCAACAAATAAACGAGGATTTAAAGTTTTTCCTTCAATAAGAAATCTTTTAAAAAATGAATACCATTACAAATAAAACAAAAGATAATAATTTTTTTAAAAAATGGGTAGCTCGTAATTTTCAAATTATAAAAATATGTAAACACGCATAACTTTTTGATAAGACTTGTTCGAAGAATGAATAAACGAAATATAATGTAAACATATAAATAATGTTGCTTCCATATATCAATGTGACTGGCATTGCACCTTTTGGAAGCCTGGTCCACCTTCCCCTTCATCGTCGTCATCCTGTTGGTAATCCTCTGCCCCTCTTGGAAAGCGGCCTTGTGCTCTTGAACCGCCTAGGATCTCGTCAAACAAAAAGTTCCCCGTACTAGCTCCTGTCCCAGGTTTCCGCCCTCTAGCGTTACTCGAATTGGCAGAGCGGGTGTCGCGCAAATCTGGTACCTCTGCTAAGACCATTTCCTCTACGCTGTTTAATGTGAAAAATATAACTATAGGTAAATGGGACAAGAACCGGACCATTAATTTTTATGGATCCGGCCACATCTTTTACCAAAAAAAATTTCGGGTCTGGACAAAAAATTAATAAAAATATTAACGATCTAGCATTGACTATATATTAATATATTAAAATGGTGTAATAAGAGTTTAGAATAATCAACTAACAAAACATGGTAGACGAAATCTATTAAATTAAAAAAAACCAGATTAATTTAACCCTTGAGAACATACAATAACGAGAGTATTCTTGAATAGGGACCCAAATTTTAAGGATCGGATTTGATTAAAAAATCTTTGATATCTCAAAAAGCATTCAGTTTAGAAGAATCAGCTGATTGTAAAAAGTATTAGGCGCAATCTCATATATAAAAAATTAAATAAAACAATTCTATCACTTGTGCGATGAATATGCGCCCAACTTTTAGATCAAAATTGATAATCACTCATAAAAGTCGACTAAATTTTGAATATATGTAATGCTGTCTAACCAAAATTACGCTACTAAAAAAATTCAGACCATCATTACATACAGGATTTTTCGGTAATAACATCTCATTAAAACTGAATGGAACCCAAGGGATGTTCTCAAGTGTTAATTTCAAAATTAATTTTATTATTATAACTTACCCATTACTATCTGAATCCTGATCCATCGAATCATTTGGTTTTCCGTCGGGGAGCAAATAAGAAATGGCGGCTATTTTGTCAGGGGTAAAGTATCCTGATGGAGGAAATTTAACCTAAATAAAATGTTAAATGTTACTTTCCCATTAAAGTATAAACGGATATTTGATAGGTTTTTAAAAAAATGACCAAACCTGAAAGGTGACGTATAGTTTTCCTTTGTCGAGTGGATGTTTGTAGATGGGCATACCTTCGTTCAAAATGCTACGAACTTCTCCATGCCTAATAACCTCGCCTGGTAAAAGAATGTTTGTTTAAATAATAAAAAAATATATTCAAATTATGTCCATTTTAGAACAATGAACTAGTGTTGTTAATTGGTTGTGTAGAGCCCAGACCCGGGGTTTGGGTCGAAAATATCGACTAAACCAGCTCTGAGCACGAACCCCGAGCACAGACCCGGCACAAAAACCCATTATTTTTAAAAAAAATAATAAAGAATTTTATTTAAAGAATATTATTATTTTATAAAAAGTAAATCTATATTATATATATCAATTTTGTGTAAATTTGTGAAATCATTATTTAGGCTCTGCATACATAGGAGAACACAAATCATGTCAAAATTTTGTTCTACCATTAGGGGAAATGCGCCATGGCCACCACCCTTTAACTTTTTATCTATTGGACCGATTTCTCTCAAAATTGGTCAAAATGTATATATGTTAATAATACTAATTAAATTAGTGTATAATTAATTTTTATATGCCTAAAAATTGAAGAAATATATAAGATTGGTCTTTTGCAAGTATTTCATATTTATAATATAATTCTTAAATAATATGTTATAGCCAGTAAATATATTTCAGCAAAACTTTTATCGCGAAACACTTTTTGAGGAAGCTTTTATCGCGAATCCATAATAGCAAATACTATTCCGCGAATACAATATAGCGAAACAAATATAGCAAATTTTTTATAGCGAAACCTTTAAAGCGAATACAATATCGCGAAACAACTATCGTGAAGATATTATAGCGATAATTGCTAATAATGACTAATTTATTTCGAAACATTTTTTATAATTATATTAATTGAATAATATTTTTTAAAAAAAATAGGATTGTGACGATTTTGCACTCAATTTTGAATTATCTCATATGATATTTATGCCTATATAGAACTCCTATGCTGAAAGATAGGACTGCCCCCTTATCCAAAAAAAAATAATTAAGATAAGTAAGAGTAAATAAATAAACACTTAACTCATTTTGCCCCGGTTTCACGTGTATTTTAATTTCATTTTATTTGAAAATAATGAGTAAAATAGCTTACAAATTGAGTAGAAGCGTTTAGCGGTGTTTTCATAAAAACAGTGTTATTTTAATGAACCGGTATAATTTTTTAAAAATGGTGAAAACTATTTTACGTTTTTTAATTTTTTTATATTGTTTAGTTATACTTGTGAAACAAGCGAAAATATAAAACTAAAATAACTTATTATCAAATGATTTATTTCCATAATAATTTTTTGGAAAAAACAGATAGGAGGGGGAATGAAAATATAGTTTTTATTTTTTAATAAGGATAAATATTTATAAATAAAAAAAACGGATGTAAAATAAAGTTATTTATAGTATAAATATTATAAATATATTATTATTTTTTGAATTCCATCTGGGAAAATAATTTTTTATAGCTTAACATTTTATTTTTTAGTGATTTTTAAAAAAATATCAAAAAGTAAATCTATTTTTAACTAAAAAATAAAGAATATACATTATTGTATTCTAATTCTAAATAGATTTTTTTCATTTTCATTTTTATTTTATAAAATAAATTTAAAATTTTTATATTTAATATGTTTTCTGAGAATCATTTTCATTGGTCAGATAATGATGACCAATCTATGAATCCTCATTTTTGTCTCAATCAACTATAGGACAAGAATTGGTAGATTCTTTTTCTGAAGAAGCCTCATCGTCATCATCCATAGCAATAGACATTAGGAATTCATTTACGATGACTCCTAATAAGACACGCAAAAAATGTAATTTATGCCCAAGTGTATACAAATCAACTTCCCAAAGTAACAATAATTTTAAATTTTTGTTTTAAATATTTCTTGAGCCGGCCTGAACCAACGGCTTAAACCTATCCTGAGCCGGAAAGAAAAAATTTAGCTTTTTAACATAATTAGTGCTCAGGCTAGTTCTGAGCACGGTTTAGACCGAAAAATATTATTTATTAAAAATTTCCTGTACTAATTTATGAATTATATTTTATATATTTAGCGAATTTGAAACATGCATTGCTTTAGCGTCGATGGGGCCATCCTGTTCCTCAGTTTAGTCATAATATTTCCGGCCAAAGAAAAAGCTCTTTCCGATGCCACTGATGTTGTCTGTTGGCATAAATAGTCCCTGGCCTCCATATAATTACGCAGCGTCGTTGCTTGATCCTAGGATCAAAAATACCCTGATTACAAATCTAAAGGATGACGTTTCAGATAAATATTTAGATATATTTTAAATAAACTTTGCAAAATATACGTCAGAGCCAGATGCGTATAATTTTGATAATAATAACAATATCTCGAATTCTAAAACTATTTCAATATTGCAGGGATTGAAAAAAATATATTTGTTAAATGTTCTATTATAAATCCATAATCTTTGATATTTTAAATTTATCCATATTTAGAAAAGGAGCATCAAATGGCACTAATGATAATAATCAATTAACGACATACCTCAATGAACCACTCGCGCCCGAAATCACAAATATATTAGATTGGTGGAGAGGAAATGCTGATCGTTTTCCTCATTTAGCAATGATGGCCAGGGTATGTTTATGCCAACAGACAACATCAGTGGCATCGGAAAGAGCTTTTTCTTTGGCCGGAAATATTATGACTAAACTGAGGAACAGGATGGCCCCATCGACGCTAAAGCAATGCATGTCACTCTCTTCCTGGGATATAGATATTATGTCTATTCGTGATGAAATATGGCAATTATTTCTCAGATGTTACAGTATATGGAATCATATTTTTAATAAACATACATCAATTAGAGAGGTAAGAATAGAAATATAAAATATCACTTATTTAGAAATTTATTTAAGTATATCTATAATAAATATTTATGTTAATAGGTTATTTTGAGTTTAATTTATTATTCGTGTTGTTAAAAGTCTCAAATGCAGTCAATTTTAAAAACATAAATTTATTTATTTGGTTAAATTCGCGCCGTTTAAGAACATTAAGTATCATGCATGTCATATAATAATATTATTTATCTCAATAAAATTATTAATATTTACATATATGTTAAAATATTATTTGAAGCGGGGCTTTATGTATGTTCTCTCTACCGTGAAAGACTCACTCGTAATAGGAATATGACAATTTTATATAACGGAATACAAATTTTTAACATAATATTTTATGTGTTTGGATTGGAGAATATATATATATTTTAAATGTATATTATATAATTTTTTATTTCATTATATTTATCATAATACTATAATTATATATATTTGTTTAAATATAAATTATAATAATATCACATTATGCGATTATTAAGATGTTTATATTAAACATGAAAAAATAATTTCTCATAAAAAATATATATCAAAATTTCTAATATCATAAGTTTGTCAATTGTCACCTAGATACTAAATACTTAGCAGTTACTTTGTCAAAATATATCTATTTTATTTTTTTTATCTTGACGGATGGCCAGTATATCATTAAAATACTTACTTAATTAATTTCTTCCGACGGCAAAATTCTCAGTTATCGGCACTTTGGAATTATAAATGTTGAAATCTCATGGAGGACATTTTTTTAATCTTTACTTAAATGATTTTAAATAAAAAAATTATTATCATGAAAAATAATAATTTTTTGGAAAAAAACAGATGGAAGGGGGAATGGAAATATAGTTTTTATTTTTTAATAAGGATAAATATTTATAAATCAAAAAAACGGATGTGAAAGAAAGTTATTAATAGTAGAAATATTAAAAATATATTCTTATTTTTTAAACAATAATTATTTTAAAGAATTAATTGTTTATAATTATTTAAATTATATTCTAGTTAAATTTACAACAACAGGTCTTTTTAAAAGGAAATCAAAAAAATCCTACTATTTATAGTAGGATGCCCTTGGTTGGTAAATTTACTAAAAATAAAATGTTAAAATATATTCATAAACACAATAGAGTTTATCGTAAGTCATAATCAGTTTTGTCAGTCAATATTTTGCGTTGATAATAATATTCCTGACTCCTCAGGACTACCTATATTATTATTTTGGATAAAAATATTCCTGCCCCTTCTAAGCCCTATACATTAACCTACAGTACAGAGTAGAGAGGGAACGCCTGATCTCCTAATGAATAAATCTTATATATAATTTTGGGGAAAAAAATAAATGGGTTTTTGTGCCGGGAATATCAAATATGATATAATAAAATATATATTTATTAAATAATGTGAACAGGGTTTCCAGGTCAAAATTTTCAAATTGCGAATAAATAGTGCATTGTTAAAAATATTCCTGTGCCCTCCTAGACCCGCCCACTTTGAATAATAATTTAGATTACAATCAAGATATAATTAAATTCCCTTTTATTTGACGCCCATATCAATATTTTCCATTGTTAAAAATATTTCTGACCTAAGACCTAGTAGACCCGTCTAATTAGAATATTAATAATAAGTATTAAAGTCAAAATTTAATTAAAACACCTTTTATTTGACGCCAATAATATCAATATCATCATGTTGTTAAAAATATTCATAACCTCTTGGACTCACCCATCTAGAATAATAATTATGATTACTAGTAGACTACAGTATATAATTAACACATTGGAACGCTTGTTCTTTTAATGAATAATTCTTATGTATACTTTTCTACTAAGTTCAAAAAAAAAGTTAAAAATAAATGAGTTTTTGTGCCGGGTCCCCCGGGTTCGTGCTCAGAGCAGGCATGAGCACAAAATTGGGTCGTAAATTTAACGACCAAGCAAATTAACAACACTACAATGAACTCACTCGACTCTATATGCAAAATTCTATAATGTAAAAAAAACGGTAACCTAACCTGCTTTCTTGAAATAGAATTCTCTATTCAGAATTAAGATGAGCTAGAGAATAATTTAAGCCAAAAATAATTTATATAATAGTGATAAAAATGAGTCATTGCTACTTCTCTCTGCCCAAATTGTTACAAATTGGGATCCAATCTAACACGATTTAACAGCTGATCGATTTTTTAAAAATCTGTTATTCTCTATTTATTCATTTAAATTATGAAAAATTGATCTCATTAAAAGATTTTTAATATCGCTCTGTTGCAAAGCGGTTAGATTTTTCAATATGGCGAACCTAATATTTTAGCCAAAAAATATTACATAGGTCTGGAGATTTTGCTCATAGAAGACAGAAATGTTTGGGCATCCACCAACAAAATCTCGAGGCTTGCATAATATTATTTTGTCTAAAATCTAAACAATAGCTCAGATTTATGTTGTATCTGATTGTATGGCTATGGGTACCTTAAATTTTTTTTTGTAAATCAGATTAATATAAATAAAATAATGAGATTAATTACCAGGAGGGGATGATACAATGAGAGTTCTGCCATCCATAGTTTTGATTTCATCACGAAATCCACATAGAGCTTGAACTAAATCCAGTTCCATCTTCATATGAAGGTCATCTCCTTTCCTTACAAATCCCTGAGGGTAGGGGTAAAAAAATTTGGATAATATATACATATTTTTTTTAAAAAAAGTATAAATTTGAATAAATGAGGCCTTCAAAAAGTTGGTTTAGGGAGGTTTGTTTATTGAGAATCACGGTTTTTAAATATTAATAATAATTCCACCCAAAAAAAATTTCATAGGCTGGAACAATTAATGTAGAAAGCATTTTTTTTACAGTTGAAATATTTATTTCACAAATTCAATTTCTCTAATTAATACTCGTAGAAAATTGTTTTACAATTCTTGACTGCGCCAAAGAGCCAAAAAATCTCTGTGGTCAGTCCATGACAAACTCTATAAGGGGATAAAAAAATTTCTGGCTAGTTATAGCTTAAGATTATAATCAGTTGTTAAAGTAACGAGCTACTAGAGTGAGGTATCTTTTTTGGTAGCAATAGCTAATAGTGCATTACTTATTTCCAATTATTTATTTTTTTAGCGCACTACTTAGCTACTTTCAAAAAATATATTGAATGTAACTATAAACATGAAAATTTAAATATAACATCATAATTTTTACTTATTATTTAATATTGAAATTTATATTTTCAATTTGTAATATTAACCTAAATGAACCAGTGTAAATATTTAAAATGTCATCGCAAATGGATATTGAAATCGATGTAATTGAGTCTCAGAAAACAATAATATTAATGGAGTGGAGAGCACCCTGGAAGAAAATGTTCTTGACAATAATACAAATCTTCCATTTCCAAATTAATGTTTTAAAAAAAAGTGCCTACAAATTTATTTGTTTAAAATGTAGAAAAAATATATTCACAAATTAATCTAGTAGTTATAACCTCAAAAAACACCATTATTTTTAAAATCTAATAGTATTAGATTTTATAAGAATGTTCATGCCAATAATTTTAAAGAGATAGAAAAACATCTTAATAATTTTGGTATAGGAGATACTACATCCAAAAAGACCAATTTAATTCAAATAAATTGATTAACAATATTGCACATGCCAATATTTTTCAGAAACTGGTTGATAAAGTCATTTTAGATTTTATAATTGATACAGTTCAGCCATATAATGGCTGATAATCCATCATTTACTATAGTGATTAAAACTTTATTCCATGGTATAACAACTTTTTGTTGCCAGACACTAATGATTGAGATAGCAGACAGCTTTGAAGTGATAAAAGATGCACTAATCGATGATGCTAAGGATCAACAGATAGGCTTACGGTAAAGTTGAATAGCCTAAAAGATGCCCTATTAAGACCACAAAAACGATTCCACTGATATTTTTTGGAAATAAAGGTTACTAATACAATAAAAAATCCCCTAGATGCGTTTTTAGTCTAAAAATACAAATGAGTATTTTTGATATTTCTTATATTAAAAATATGTATATAAAATTATTGCCTTGCGCGCAAGTGTTAGTGTTGAAAGATTATTTAGTAAGACAAAATTTATACTTTCTAATCATTGCTCTAGACTTGGGGATATAGAAATGATTTTATTATTAAAATATAACAAAATAAATAATAAATGAATATCACCATAAATAGTTATTTTTATTACATTATTTTAGTCATTTTACATAAAAATTTTTATAATCAATAATTAATTATATTTAAATATTTATAAAATAATTTTTGTGTATTAAAGCAAAAAATAAAAAAAATTTAAATTTTTTTTATAAAATAAAAAGTAGCCAAAGATACTCTTAAAAATAGTAGCTAATAGTGTGTCACTATTTGATTGGTAGCAATAGCACTAGCACATTACTTTTTTGACAAATAGTGTTAGCAATAATGTGTTACTTTTAAAAGTAGGATATGGCTGCTCAACATTAAGTGTGAATATTGTGACACTTTAAATATTTCTTTAGAAAATCCCTCAGATGTTCAAAAATTGTTGTCATAAGGATAAATTTAAGATACCATCAATCAGTTCCTTTTTTTATAAGACCTTTTATCAAATCCTAAAAATGAATTCCATTCATACGTTATAAAACATATTCATTTTTATAATAGTGCTCTTACGTTTACATCGATGGGTGCACAGATTTCTAAAAGTTTGAACCTGGACCCATTAAAGTTCATGGGCAAATTTATCATAGGGCATCTCATTTATATCTTTCCACTGGGATGCATCCCAAGTTTGCATAAAAATACCCTTGAGACTATGCAGGCTGTTAATGGCAGTTTGCATATAAAAAAAAATTCAAGTTGCAATGAGCATCTCTTGAAAAGATTAGATATTAGAGTAATTCCATACCAAATTGATAACTTTTCGGCCCGACCTTTTTATTTCGATAAAATTTTGTATGCTGAGAGAATATCATTAGAAAGCATCGAATCCAAAATTTTAGCCTCCTAGTACTCATAGTTCCTGAGATATCAATGGTCAAAAGTCCCAAAAATGACCTTTTTTCGAAAAATACGATTTTTTTGAATTTGAGATAAGTTAAAAAAATAATGATTAAAAATATAAATTATATGTCATTTTGTAACTCTATTAAAGGCCTTTTATTAAATATTAAGAATTTTTTCGAAATAATATTGTTACGGTTTTTATTTACGTTATAAATTTTAAACTTAAAAATTCCAGGTGTTTCGCTTTCCAAATTTTCTCTAACCTTCTATCTATTCATAAAAAAATTTAAACTTGGGACAACCATGGGTTTTTTAGTTATTACGATTTAAAAAATTAATAAATAAATATTTTTTTCAAAAATAGATGGCGCTCCTTTATAAAATAACGCGTTTTGTTAAGATTATTTTTTTTAATCTCTTTTTATTTTTAAACATAAATAACAAGATTTTCTATCATTAATATCAGGAAAAAATATTATATAGATAGTTTGATAGGCTTACTTATTATTATTGCTATATTGATAACTTGTAAAAATTAGTTTTTATAATAAATGATTAAATTTCCTAAAAAGATAGTTAAGATTGTTATATGTTATTTTGTAACTCTATTAAAGGCCTTTTATTAATATTAAGAATTTTTTTGAAATAATTTTGTTGCGGTTTTTATTTACGTTAAATATTTTAAACATAAAAATTACAAGTGTTTCGCTTTCCAAATTATTTTGAATTTAATATTTTCTTATTCTCTAACCTTATATCTATTCATAAAAAAATTAAAACTTGGGACAGCTATGGGTTTTTTAGTTATTACGATTTGTTTCATTCCATTTATTCCAATCGCACTTGATTCATTTTTTAAAAAATAAATTCGACACTCCACCAGAAAAAATTCACTACTTTTCTGATGGTTCAGCAGTGCAATATAAAAATAGGAAAAATTTCATCAATGTTTGCTACCATGAAATCGATTTTGGTTCAAGCAGAATGGCATTTTTTTCCTACGGCAAATGGTAAAAGTGCCTTCAACGGCATAGGCGGCACAGTAAAACGGTTAGTTGCCAAGGCAAGCTTACAAAGACCTTATACTGATCAAATTATTACACCTTTACAATTTTATAAATATGCGGAAGAGCATATAAAAGGAATAAATTCTTCTTAAGCCACTATACTAGAGTATGAGGAAGAAGAGATAGGGCTAAGTAAGAAATTTAGTAAATCTACCTCAATACCCGGGACACAAAAAATTCATGCAGGTTTCCGATTGGCTTAACTAAACTCAACACTAAACTATATTCTAATTCGCAGACATTTATTTTGGAGAATATAGTATATCCACGTGAGGATCCTTTGATTGCGGTTCTGTTAATCGATGAGATTAGAGGATATGTAACATGTGCTTATGAAAACGATTGGTGGTTAGGATTTGTACAAGAAGTGAATGTAATTAGAGATGAAATAAAAAGTAATTTTCTTCACCCTAAAGGACCAGCAAATTTTTTTGTTTATCCAGCTGCACAAGATATCCTTTTCATACCAAAAAATAATATTTTAACAATAGTTAGTTAGCCCATCAACGGCTACTGGGCGTACATATAATTTATCGCAAAACGAAATTAACATGGCGTCAAAAAAACTAAATTTAATGAAAACCCGAAAATAGGTAATATTTTTCATGAATTTTAATTTATCTATTATATCTTCAAAATTTATAAAATCATTTTTCGAAAATTAAAATTTTTTATAAAAAAAAAAGATTATACAGCTAAATAATCTCATTTCATAATATTAATGATAGAAAATCTTGTTATTTATGATTAAAAATAGAAAAAAGTTCAAAAAAATAATAATCATAACAAAACGCGTTATTTTATAAAGGAGCGCCATCTATTTTTTAAAAAAATATTTATTTTTTGATTTTTTAAATCGTAATAATTAAAAAAACCCATGGCTGTCTCAAGTTTAAATTTTTTTATGAATAGATATAAGAATAGAGAATAAGAAAATATTAAATTCAAAAAAATTTGGAAAGCGAAACACCTGGAATTTTTATGTTTAAAATTTATAACGTAAATAAAAACCGCAACAATATTATTTCAAAAAAATCCTTAATATTTAATAAAAGGCCTTTAATAGAGTTACAAAATGATATATAACTTATATTTTTTAATCATTATTTTTAACTTATCTCAATTTCAAAAAATCGTATTTTTCGAAAAAAGGTCATTTTTGGCACTTTTGACCATTGATATCTCAGGAACTATGAGTACTAGGAGGCTAAAATTTTGGATTCGATGCTTTCTAATGATATTCTCTCAGTATACAAAATTTTATCGAAATTAAGAAGGTGGGGCCGAAAAGTTATCGATTTAATATGGAAGACAGAATAAATGATTTTCTATTAGCTATAAAACTTTGGGAGAAATTGAGAAAGAAGAAAAAAACAGAGCCATTCAAAAAAATAGTCCAATTTAAAAAATTAATATGGTCTTTTGTGCAGATTGCACAAGTGACAAGTTAGCTATTATTGGCTAAGCCTAATTAGCAGGGTTGGGCAGTATTGCGGATATTTGCATCTTTTTAAATTTTGGAAAGTATCTTGTATCCAGAATCTAAGATACATATTATTTAAAAGTATTTGTATCTAAACCAACTTTGTATTCAAAAAGATACAGATACTTTAAAAAAATTTATATTAGTTAATTTAAATAGTATTAAAATGATATTGTTTTATAATTTAAATGAATAATTTAATCAGAATTTAGATATTTTAAGATAATTTATGATATATGACGTTGGTCGTCGTATAGCAATTTGCTAACAATTAGAACTACCATATTTAATTTGAATCGTTTTATATCTGTCTATTTTAAAATAATGGAAGAAGAAAATAGAATAATATGTTTATCTTCATCTTCAGATGATTCTCCAACTGAAAAATATAACTATAAATTTAAATTAAGTATTTTAAATAGAAAATTTTTTCAAACTTCAACATGATCATAATAAAATTACTGCAGAATATAAAGAATGCCACAAATCTATAACTGGTTCTGCGGACTCGTCATTAAATTTTGTCAAGCATCAAAAAGTATAATATATAATAATATAATAAATCACATTTATAATCATATTATTATCATTCTATATTCCCACATTCGTTGTCTGTGCCATATGACAAGTCTTATTGCCACAACAGATGTCAAGAAAGCTATTAAGAATTCTCCTAACATTTCTAAAATTCAACATCCTGCAATAGCCAAATGTACTAAGCTATGGAAAGCTAGTAATAGACCTAAAACTGCAGAACTTATTATAGCAGTTAGATGGAATAGTATGTTTGATAGTCTTAGTAGTTTATTAAAATTTAAAGGCAAACTTCATAAATTATGTCAAAAATTAGAATTTCCAAAATTAAGATATTGAAATTCAATATTTAGAAGAATATTGCAATATAATGTCTCCATTGGCTATAGCAATAGACAAAATAGTGAAATCAACTGCTATTATGGAGAATCAGCTCCAATATTATATGTCGTTAAAAAAAATTACAAATTTAATTCGAACTGATCTACATTTTTGCAAACCATTAGCTATTGCCATAGAAAATTCTTTATATAAAAGATTTAAAAATATATATGATTTTGATAATAACTTTAAAAGCGCATTTTGGCAACTATTTCTCATCCCTATTTTAAAAATCATTGGATTGATGGTGAGAAAGAAAAAATATACCTTCGGGATTTGTTAATACATGAAGCTTTCATTATTTTTAAAAATAATATTGAAATTAATATGTCATCAAAATCTTCAATTGATGAAGATGATGATTACTTTTGTTTTAAAAGTACCACATCCAATTCTAATAATTCAATAAATATTGAATTATAGGTCCTAAATTATATGAAAGATGACAGGTGCAGTATAAATATGTTAAATAGTTATAAATATATAATAGAAATATTTATTAAATATAATACAATATTACCCTCCTCTGCCCCCATTGAATGATTATTTAGCTTTACTAATATGGTTAATAGACCAAATCGTCAAAGATTGGACAATAAATTATTTGAAAAATTAATAATATTAAAAAATAATGCGATTTATTATTATTTAATAATTATACAAATATTAAAAAATATTGCATTATCTTTTTAATAAATTTGTTATTTTCTACAATTTTTTTTTTAATTTTTTTTATAAATTTATATTATATAAGAAAATAAAGCTTTATACATTTTGATTTTGACTATTTAAAGTTTTGTAAAAAAGTATCTTGTATCTTAGGTACTTTTTTTAAAGAATTGAAATTTTTCTAAAGTATCTAGTATCTTAAATACAAAATATTATAAAGTATCTGTATCCGAATGCAATTTTCTGAAAATTTTCCCAACCCTGCTAATTAGGCATAAAAATAATTTTAATTCTAATTACTAATATTTGCAAAACAAGTAATTTAAAATATTTACTAATATTTATGATTTTCAATATTTCAGATTAAATATCAAATAATTTTTGAGAAATATCATTAAATCAATTTTTGGGAAATTATTGTTAGAAAAATTGACTAAAAATTAATCACTTTATATTAATCTCATTTATTTTTTAATTTGCAGAAAGATATTTAACTGTTAAAATTATTATATATAATATAGAGGGGCCTAAACTGTTTTGCTTAATATTTACAGTTGTTAATTTAAATTATTAGCTAAATTAGGGTTAATTTATGATAGAAAACAACTTAATTCAAAAAATTTATAACAGTTTAGTCTGGTCATTTTAGATGTTGGTAATGAATGATGTTTCAGGTAGCTACACTAAAACTTTGGTATAATAATTCAAAAAATAATAACAGTTTTATGATTAATTATTCAAGGTATTTACTGGAAATTGATTAGGATTTTCTTGTTCCTCCAGAACCACTATAAGATCACCACTAGGGATGCCTGGTTCTTGATTTCCTTCTCCTAAAAAGCTAAGCTTTTGACCATCCTTCATACCTTTAATTTCCCAGCATATTATAATAAATAAGATGGAATTTTTAATTTAAGCTTATTAACAATTATTCTTATCATTTTCTTAATAATAAACATAAATTACCTTTATCTATATGAACATCTATAGATTTTTTCTCCACAGTAATTTTTTTACCATCACAATGTTTACAACGATCCTTGGCCAAGTACCTTTCTCCCATACCTCTACATTCATCACAAACAGATTGAGTTTGTTGAACTATACCCACACCTAGCCTATGTATCTTAACCTGGGCACCAGTGCCTTTGCAGGATGCACACTTGTCAATTGTGGCTCCTTTCTTGCCACCACGACCTGTATGAAAAATATATTTAATGATATATAAATAAATACACCTATATAATAGAAGTGTTTACGATAAATTTGTATTAATAAGATATTTTTAGATAAATGTATATCATAAAATATAAATAATTTAGTTAGCTTATTACCTTCACATTTAGGACATGCAACATTTTTAGTGACAACCAATTTCCTCACACTACCATTATAGAACTCAGATAATGTGACATCAAGTTCATGATATAAATCTTTGCCTTTCCTTTCTCTTGCTTTACTTCTAGAACCACCCCCAAAGAACATCTCAAAAATATCCATAGGAGACCTAAAACCTTCTCCTCCATGAGACCCTCCTTCTTTAATAGCTTGTTCACCACCAGCATCATATATTTTTCTTTTATTTGAATCTGAAAGAACTTCATAGGCTTGAGATATTTGTTTAAACTTTAAAATAATATTAATAAAAATTAGATATGAGTTTTAATTTTTTTAAATGCTAGTGACTATTTTATTTTAAAATCATAAATACCCTTTCTCCTTCTTCAGGATTTTTATCTGGATGATATTTTAAAGCAAGTTTTCTGTAAGCCTTTTTAAGTTCCTCTTCTGTAGCATTCGAATTAACACCTAATGTATCATAATATCCCGTTTCTTTAACCATTATGGGATGTAAAAGTTTAAAATCTTCGAATTCTTCGAAATTTTCTATCAATAATTTATTACTCCTTGAAGAAATTTGGTATTATAAAAATCTCAATAATAATTAGCAAAAAATACGTTCGTCATTTAAAAATAAATTTTTATTAAACACGTTATAGTAGTATTTAAAATCTTTTAGTAGTTAATATAAAAATATTAACACTACATCAATTTAAAATTAAAAATCATAACAAAAGTATTCTATATATATAAATTATATAATGAATATTCATGAGTAAATATCTATCTATTAATCCGTATTTAAATTAAAATTATGATGGGAGAAAAGGTAGGAAAAATATATATTTGATTAAGAAATTTTTAATTTATTAATACTATTTAAGTTTTTTATAATGGTAAGGAATATGAGAAAACATGTTTCATATGAATCATAAGTCATTAAATATTACCCAATAAGGCATAATTTTATAAAATAGCATGTTTACATTTAACGCCATCTCGCGCATAAAAAGTTATATTTAATATATTATATTAAAATTTTTCATAATATCATATCAATTTTTGAAATTTTACTATTCTATGGCATCGCATTCTTAGGTTAATTATCCCATTATTCTGTATTCTATAATATTATAGATTTTCAACCCCAATGGTCTGATAAAGTAAGTCGCAAATTTAAATAACTGGGAATATAAATTATTTCAAAAGTAAACATTCTCCCAACAAATATTTTAATTAAAAAAAATTTATATTATCGAATTTTTTATGTTAGGTAATAATAATTGTGAAACAGACATGCTAATATTGTGTTATTAAATTAGGTAAAAGCAATGACATTGGTAATAAATTTTATTACCTTTTAAAAAAAAATACATTTATAAATGTTTTTCTTGCAACAATATATATACAAAATTTAATATATCAAATTTGAATAGAAAAGATTTATAAAAAAAATATAAAGTTAGTTTTGCGAAAATAAAGATAAGAATAAGTCAAATCTGAATAGCTATGCAAGGTTATAAAATACAAAATGAGTAATAAATATTAATATTACCTGACTATCATTTAATTTTAAATCAAAATGGCTTTCCATTGTTGTTTAAAAAAATTCTAAGCTAGTTTCGTATCGGATATATACCAGTTTCGTTTTTAATTCGTTTCGTTAAAAAATTAAATATTTAAAATACATAATTGGTAATACGCATCAAAATAAAAATTGTAAAATCGCTATTTGCTCAGTACTGCCTTTGGTAGCAAGCATCATTAACCCTTAAATTATGCGAATGATATATATATATATGGATAAAACAAAATAACTAATAATAATTGATTGAGGGATGATTGACTGACAGTTCTCTATACTTTTACGTCAATCCCTTATAATACATATATTTATCAAACAATATTTTAATTTTTTATATCAATATCATCCCAAATAAATAATGTCACATTATTCAATTTATTAAACAAAGACAATTAATTTTACTACAATATGTTCTGGGAAATATATTGAAAAAACATCCATATCTGTCAATTACAAATCGACAAATACAAATTGACAAATACAACACGCCATACTTTCTTGAGAAATCAAACTAGAGGAAAGTATAAAACTTACGTATACTAAATTAATTTAAGTAAATGTCTACATAAATTCTAATAAATCATCAACAATTATTATTTATTTTCATTTAATTTTCTTTCTTCTGTTCCAATAAGTTCCATATTTTTTATTGACCATAAGTATGTCATTGTACTGTTGATTATCATTTAATTCTAACTGTGCTTGGGTCATAGAATGATCGATCTATAGCATCTTGGTCAGTCATGAATCATGGGTTTGGTATCATTAATCCAGCATCAATTTTTTATTGGACAGAATATTACAAAGATCAAGTGTTTTTAAAAAATTTTATTAAAAATAATTATTTATTCGTTCTTTTTAACATTATCCCAGATACACTTCTTCCCTATCAATCATAATCTTAAATTCAAATAAACACAATATTTCTGATCCCATTATATTCATATGAGACCTTATATTTTTAGCGATGGACTACTAATTCTCTTCTTTCCTTGGATCTAAAATAATATCAAATGACCAATTCCTTTCATTTATATAACTTACAAAATTTTAAACATAATAATATAATATCTAAAGGCTCCCTCCATTATTATTCCTTAAATATATAAATCCACATTTATCCATATAGAATTAAAAATATTTTTATTAATTTACCTTTACATTTATACAATATTAATTAAAATTATAAACATAAAAATATTCTAATATTATCTAATGGCTCCCTCCATTATCCTTTACATATATAAATCCACATTTATACATATAAAATCAAAAATATTTTTATTAATGTTATATAATAAGAATATTGATAAGTTAAAATATTGACCAATTATACATTTAGTCATTAAATAGTAATGATTGAAATTTTATATCAGGCATTCATTTAATTATCTTTATTCAATTTACCTCATTAAACTTGTTATTTTGTTAAACTAATTTTTATACTTTATATAACCTTCAGGAGCGTCGCTAGCCTTCAAATCTCAGGGGGCTCAACTAAAAAAAATTTTATATTCCCCCAATTTGCGGCACTTTTGTCAGGGTTTTATATGAATATATTATACTTTTTTAAAATTTGTTAACTCTGAACAATTATTTTGATTTTCATATTTTGTCATTTATTATATTACTAGTTGATAACCCGTCAAAAATGACGGGGATGAGAATTTTATTCGTTCTTTTACGATAATTCTTTTTACCCCTCCCCCTCCTCCTTCAGGCCAATTCCAACCCATTAAGACTAAGAGAGAGGAATTGTCTTTTTTATTCAATGATGGATGAATCAGACATTTTCCTTTTTATGAGATGTGATTTCGAAATTTATATTTTAAATTACAAAAATGAAACAATATCTCTTATTAGCACCCTAAATACTAATATTATTTATCAGAGCTCCTGTTAGTCAGAATTACTGTTCACTCCCCACCGCGTGAAGGTAGGAGATGGATTTTAGGGGAGCAAAGAAATGAAAAAAAGAATGAAAATAAGAAGGAAGAAATAAATAAAAAGAGACAAAGATATGAATTATAAGAAAATATAATAAATATTTATACTTCAAGAGTTGATGATTATCGGGTTACAACACATATGCATTTGTAGCCATATAAAAAATATAATATAATAAATTTTATAATATAGAAAATTTTACCTAAAAAAGGAGATTTCAATCTCTTTTATTTGCTCAAGGTGGTTTCGTTTTTGAAGATGATGTTGTGATTTCCTTGCTCGTAGTTTGTCGTAAATAACCTGAAATAAAACGTGTAAATTGAAATTAAATAGAATATACTGTTGTTGGTGAGGAAGATGGTTTAGCGATGGTGAAGAAGTTGTCTTTTCTTTGCTCAAGGTGGTTTCGTTTTTGAAGATGATGTTGTGATTTCCTTGTTCGTAGTTTGCCGTAAATAACCTGAAATAAAACGTGTAAATTGAAATTGTAAAATAGAATATACTGTTGTTGGTGAGGAAGTTCTCTTTTTTTTGCTCAATGTAGTTTCGTTTTTGAAGATGATGTTGTGATTTTCTTGCTCGTAGTTTGCTGTAAATAACCTGAAATAAAACGTGTAAATAGAAATGATAAAATAGAATTTACTGTTGTTGGTAGCGATGGTGAAGAAGTTCTCTTTTCTTTGCTCAAGGTGGTTTAGTTTTTGAAGATGATGTAAGGTTGGTGATTTGATGGTGAATAACAAAGTTGGTGACTTTTTTAAATTTCTTACAAATTATGAATTTAAGATTTCATTATATACGATATTTTGTGTGAATGTTTTATCATTTTTAAAATTTTTCCTTGTAATTCTGATGGCAAAATCATAATTTTCATATTATTTTGAGATTTACATCTAGTAAGAGCCACATATAGTTGTCCATGGGCAAAGACGGGCTCAGGGAGGAATAAGCCTACATGATCAAAAGTTTGTCCTTGACTTTTATTTATTGTAATCACAAAAGCGGGAATTATTGGAAACTGTCGTCTTTTTAAAGTAAATGGTAACTGAGAGTCACTTGGAGCTAGATCTATTCGTGGGAGAAAAACTCGATAACCCTTATTAGTGCCTGTCAATACCTCAGCGTCGATAAAATTAATATGTAAATGTCGTATGATTAAACGGGTACCATTACAAAGTCCTTTCTTTGGGCTCAAGTTGCGTAATAGCATAACAATTGTACCAACCTTAAGTGTTAGCTTGTGAGGTGGCATATCGGATGGAGTTTGTGAATGCAAAAATTCTAGTGGAAAATTCATTATATCATCCTTATTATCGCTTTCAATGGAATCTGCACTATAATAATGTTTGATAGGGCCTGAAATTATATTAATGATATCGTTGTTGAGGGTAAGTGCAATTTTATTTTTGGTGGTTAATATTATTTTAGTAGAAAGACTATCTATATCAGCAATTTCTATATAATTACCATACACACATTTTATTAATGAATCATTTTCAATCAAATAAGGTGGGATTTCAACACTATTTGTAGGAAGATCAGAATTGCTGCGTGATAGCCCATCTCCAATTTTAAGTAACCAAGCATTGTAATCAACTTGATTTGATGAAATACGCATATTATCAATCAAATGTATTATTTTAAAATGACTCCATAAATATGAACTTTTTATACAGGACTCTATAATATCAACTTTGGAGCCTTTAGGCACTACTGGTAAAGTCTGTCTAAAATCACCACCTAATAAAATTACGTTTCCGCCAAATGGGTGGGAATTTTTCATAATGTCTTTAAGTAATCGGTCAATGCATCGCAAAGCGTGTTTAGTCATCATTGTGGCCTCATCAATAATAATCAATTTGCTATTTTTAATATCTAGAGCTAGCGAACTATGTAAATTCATATGGGATGTAGAAGTTTCAAAGATAGGCACAGGTAATTTAAATCCGCTATGGATGGTTCTTCCCCCTTTAAAAGAATAGAGGATATGCCGGTGGTTGCAAAAGGCAATA